CAAGTCTTGCCACCCCCAGTTAATCAAAGGACTGTTCTAATGAAACACAAATTGCTCCTGAACCCAAGATTCCTATTCCTACTCTGGATTTTGGGCTGAAGCTCTTTAGCCTCGAGTTCTTAACTCACAGGGGTCCAGCTCTGACAGACCAGGCAGCATTTTCCTTCTGGAATAATTTAGCCCCTGGGAACCACAGCCACAAGGAGCAGCCTGCATGGATCTGAGGCCTTTCTGCTGGAAAGGACAGACAGATATGGCTTCTCCACATTTAAATGCCTGGCCTGGTCATTTGGATGGCCCAACATCTTTTCTCTTTAGTCTGCACTGTAAATGTCTCCCAACATTTCCTTTGGGATGGATCACAACCACTCAGGCCACTGAAGACACCTCTTCCTGTCCCACTGGTGGGAGGGCTGTGACAAATGTTGCTGTTTCAGACCCCAAAGCAGGCTCTCACCTATGTCTTTGCCCATAGCTTGTGCCAGTTCCTCCACAGTCATCTTCTGCCTTATCTCCACTTCACCCCTCGTCATGGGAATCTTCTTTTTCTTCTTTTTTGTCTCCTACATGGAATTGGACACATACACAGGAATATATACTAAGAAATAACAAAAACAATATTAAAAAGACAATGGTCTCTCATATGAGATAAACACATCTTCTTTACTATAATACCAATTAATTACAATTAATGAACGAGTTAACAGATCATAATGAACATTTCAAATATACAGCACACTACCCTTAACCTTTCTGCATTTTTAATTTTTCAGAACAAGGACAAAAAGCAATAAATATTGCAATAATTTCCTCCACTATCAGCAAAAATTCATGATGCTACTGGTGTAAGTCAGCATTGAAAGGGAATGGCAAAAAAAATATACATGAAGTACATTTTGTTTTATAGATTTATAACAACTTCTCTATACTCATGAATAAAGCCCTTTTTTCTTTTTGAATTAAAAAGTTCAAACGGAGCTCTTGTACTTGCCACACAAACCCAGGGATTACTGGATGTCCTTAATTACCTCCTTTGTGGCTAGATGTCTGCACTGTGATAAGGCAGCACTGATTAATCTGTGTTTTGGCCAGAGCTGTGGATGCGGAGGGAGGGACCCCACGGGATGTGCAGACAGCTCCACAGGCTTCCATTGTGCTCCACAAACTTTCCTGGAGGACAGGGCACGCAGCTGCTGGCAGGCACCACGGAGCTGCAGCAGATTTTCAAACCTCAGCAGCAACCCTTGGTTCATTTCCCCACTGCAAACACAAAGCACACACCGAGGTCAGCCTCGAGGCTCAAAGATCCTCCTTCTCAGGACAAAAGGTACAGGAATACAAGGCACAAATGAAGATGTCATGTTTCCAAACATTTTTAATGCTGACAAAATGAAATTGTTTAGGAACTGTTCCAGCTTTTTCATTTCCTTCTGTGCTTCACCTTTCCCCACTACTCCACTGCAGACACATGGATCTACTAAGACCTTATAGATTTTCATCTTTCTCTGATTTGAACCATTAATTCCCTCATTGCAGGTTCTATGACATCTCCTACAAAAACCCCACATTTGCACTCCTCATGCCATACTGACAGAATTACCCAAGTGTCAAAACCACCTCTCTAAGCCAGCAAAACACACCTGCTAAATGCCCTTTTCCTGAGCATTTCCAGACAAAAGCACCACTGAAAGACCACAGCACGGCAGTGACACCTAAGCCCCGGCTCAGCAATGAGGCTTCTGTCAGATCATCCCACATCTTGTTTTAACCATCTTAACTCCGGTTTGAGTCGTTTTGCCGATTATCCCGTGCGACACCCTGAGCTTCTCCTGTTGCTCAGAGCTGCCTGTTCTGCGCTGGCACACCCCTGGAAGTGCCCAAGGCCAGCCTGGACGGGGCTCCCTGGGATCCTGGAAGGTTTCCCTGCCCACGGCAGGGGGTGGAGCAGGATGGTCTTTAAGGTCCCTTCCAACCCAAACCCTTCTGTGATTCTGTCCTGCTCGGGGATGGACTCTCTGTTCCTTCCATGTCCCCACTCACAGCTGTCCCTGTGTCACCCTCCCTGCAGCTCCAAAGGCAGGGAACGCTCTCGGCTCCTCCCAGAATGGCTGCGGGCCCTTTAAAACCTCCCTTGCACCCGGATTCCTGCAGGAAGCGAGCACCTGACAGAGTAAGCAACCCATCCCAGCTATTTTGGTGGCGTTTTTAACCCCAAAGAGAACCTTAAAGGGGCCGAGTGGGTAAAACCCACGCGGAGCTGCCACAAGACGCTGCACACACACAAACAACACACACAAACAACACAAGGTCAAGGCGACACTGGCCCAGCTCACAGCAGCGAACCCCACGCCAGGCTCTGACTGCGGAAAGCCCTTCCCGGCTCCCGGGGTGGAGGAGCGACATTCCCGCTCCCGCTGCTCTCCTACCCATGGTTCTGGCTGGTTAATACCTGTCAGCTGCAGCCCGCCCTCCCCGCGGGGGCAGCGCCTTTCTCCGAGCCCCCGGGTGCCGGCCTTGGCAGCCCGAGGAATGAAGGAAGGAATGAGGCTGGAAAAGAGGGAAGGGAAGGAAGGGAAAGGGCTCCGCGTCCCCTCCGTGCCTCACGCCCGGCGCGCCGCTCTCTGCGCATGCGCCGCGAAGGAGTGCGAGGGAACCGCGCAGGCGCAGCTGCCACCCCGGGGCTGCCCGGACGGGGGCGGGGCCTCGCCTCACGGGAGGCGGGAAATGCCCTCAGGGGACGGGGATAGGGATTGTCTAGGTTGGTTTATGCCCATTCTAGGGTTTTGAAACTTATTTTTTAAAACATCTATTTGTCTGGGATTGTCTAGGTTGGTTTATGCCCATTCTAGGGTTTTGAAACTTATTTTGTAAAACACAAAAGGTACACACTTAAATCTGTTTTACTCCTTCCTGCCAGGAGACAGCGGCTTCCTCTCTGCAAAGCCCTCCCCACCCACATGCAATCGAAAGCTTTGACGTGCCTGATGTTTAAGTCCTCTCTAATTTGGCGTCTCTAAAATAGCGCCACTTAATGGAGTAGAGGAAACCAAAACGTAAGATGAAGCTCTGCAAGCGAAAAATCCTCAATGTTACCTGGTTAATGCTGGTTGTAAAACCCAGGGGTAATCCCAGGGCTCTGATGCTGTGGCGATTCCTGTCCGGACACGGCAAATTGGGTGTGACAAATAATGACCATTATTTCCTTTACATACCTGAGCTGTGTATTTCACGCTCTTTGCCCATAGTGTGGGATAGTTCACACACGTGGTTTTCCACACGTGTTTTGCTGCCCTCAGTATCTTTCCTACAAGAATTTGCTTATTTATGATGCTGGGTGTGAAAAAAATAAGCATTCTGCATTTCAAAGGTGGGGTACTGGCACCTTGAAATGCTCAGGGCCTTTGAGTGCTTCTCCACGGGTAAAATAATCTCAAAATAGATCACAGTGTGAAAAAAATAAGCATTCTGCATTTCAAAGGCACCTTGAAATGCTAAGGGCCTTTGAGTGCTTCTCCAAGGGTAAAATCATCTCCAAAATAGATCACAGTAAAAAAAAAAATTTAAAAAATTAAAAGTTGTCTTCCACTGGATGCTGCCTGGAAATCTTCCTCTGTGCTGCTGTAATGCTCTGGGAATTAGCGTGCCATCGTATTTTATCCACATGTCTCTTAACCGCAGAGTCATACTGTTTTAATTTAAAGTTCATTACAGATTGCCCGTTTTTCTGAAGGGTAAACTGGAAACAAATAATTATTGATGTCATAGGTCAGGGCGATGGTTTGGGTTGTAGAAATATTTTCCAACTGTGTGGCCATTAATGTTTGGCTTTGTCCCTTAGTTCTGATTATTACTGGTTGATTTAAAAAAATACAAATGATGCAGTTTTTGTTTATAGGCTGTATCATGTATTTTGATTTTCTTTTTAGCTTTGATTTTTTTGGTAACTTTCTTATCTAGCACCATTTTCATCAAAACTGTAAGGAGCACTCCAGAACCTGAAATTAGAGCAAGAATATATATATATATATATAAAGATTAATAGGTTAAACGGAGACAAATATCTGCTTGAAACCAACGTTTGAACCAAATACAGTTCCCATGGAATGTGTGTGGAAGCAATGTGTTAATGTCACTATTTGGGAAGGAAATGGCTTTAAGGAATGTGAAAAATGCGTATTTTATGATTGCCTTTTCGTAATTATTAAAATTAATATTATATGTGTTATGTTAGAAAGTTATGCTGTGTTAATTTTCTTAAGCAGTGTGTTAAATATAGTTTTAGGTTATAACCTATAATGCTAAAACAGAAACTATGCTATGTAGGATACTTTTTAAAGAGAGGAATGAAGTATTCACAACGAGACAGCAGCCACAGGACACCTAAATCTTTCAGAGAAAAAGAATTTATTGCTCCCTTTTCAGAATAAACTAACTTCTTCCTGCCTCGCTCAGCCCTGAAGACACCGTCAGGATTCAGAGGAAGAAGACCAGACAGAATCCTGTGTTTGAGTGGAATTTATGCATCATGTATGAGGTGTGTGGATATGAAACAGGCTGTTGCTTTTAAGGGTTAATCCTGTTTACGTGGGTCCTTTTTTCGGGCTTATTTTGCCCAGAAAGAGGCACCTGGACTGTCCGTAACTCTTTTTTTTTTATTGTCTCGTATTGTCCTAATCCTAATTATCCAATTTTTTATTCCTCCAATTATATTACTATTTTTATAACCATTTTATCACGATTAAACTTTTAAAATTCTTAAAGAAAAACGAATGACTGGCGTTTCTCACAGGAACACGGAACGTATTGATCTGCGCGGGAGGGGAGGCTCAGGTGGGATGGGGACATACGATACCCACGGTCTGAACCGCAGTGGGAGGGTGTTCCTTAGCAAAAACGAGTGCAATTTTAATGGATTCACCGCTCCCGGCGGCAGGGCGCTGCCCGTGGGCGGGCCCGGAGCGAGTGGAGGAGGAGCGGGCCAAGCTGCACGACGTGGAGCGTGAGTGGGGCCGGGCCGGGAGCGGGGCCGGGCCAGGGCGGGCAGCGATGGCGGCCGAGCTGCGGGAGGCGCTGGAGCGGCGGCTGCGGGACCTGGGCATCGCCACCGTCACCGCCGAACACCCGCAGGTACGGCAGCCCGCTGGAAAGCCGGCAGTAGAGCCCTGCCTCGCCACGGGGCACAGCGGGATCAGGGCGGGAGGAGGTCCAGCAGTTTCAGCACAAGTGTCAGTGTGGAAGCTCTCGCAGGGCCTGGCAGAATGGCTGGGGACGTTTTTTGGTCGCTTTGACTCTGCCTCCAGATCCACCCCCTTTCCCCCGTGGTCTGAGGAGCGGCTCGCCCACTTCTTTGCCCTGAAGTCGGCGGCATCCAAGATGCTTTCCAAACTCCTGCTCGCTCCCAGTGCAAGCCACGTCATTCCAAGTGTGTGGAGCCGCAAACGGGAGCGCTCCCAGCGCTGCCTTTAAAGCGAGGCATTGCTGCACACACGAGACAGAAACGATTCTGAAAGTGTGCCGGAGCAGTTCGTCACATTTTATTCGTGTTCTGTTAAAATTCCTTCATAAAAGGGTACAGCTTTTAGGCCGAGTAGAACATTCAGCATTTTCTAAATACTTAACAAAAGATACGTGCCAGCACACGACTGGGAGTCTAATGGGATATAGAGTCTGACACCGCACTGGTGCTGTTTTCCAGGTGTTCACTGTTGAGGAAATGATGCCGCACGTCCAACACATGAAAGGAGGTCACAGTAAAAACCTGTTTCTTAAAGACAAAAAGAAGAAAGGGTTCTGGCTGGTGACCGTCCTGCACAACAGGCAGGTCAATCTGAACGAACTTGGTAAAAAACTGGGCGTTGGAAGTGGAAACCTAAGATTTGCTGACGAGAACGCCATGCTGGAGAAGCTCAGAGTGGGTCAGGGCTGTGCCACGCCGCTCGCCCTCTTCTGTGACCAGGGAGATGTGAGGCTGGTGCTGGACGCTGCCTTGCTCGAGGGAGGCCATGAAAAGGTGTATTTTCATCCAATGACAAATTCTGCAACCATGGGCTTAAGCCCTGACGACTTCCTGAAGTTTGTGAGATCAACAGGCCACGATCCCGTCATCGTACACTTCGATGAAGACATTAAGTGAAGGAAGTTCATTTTTCTACTGCTACTCGTAGATTTTTGTAGAGCAAAACTGGTGAAAAATCTCATTACAAATAAAACTTGGAAAAAAAATGGCTTACTCCTTTTTCATTTGTATCAGTTATGTAAGTTTGTATCGTATAATCTGGTGAGAAAAAATACTACCTTTCAGTTATTAGAAGGTTAACAATGTTCTTAAAAAGACATTTTGCAATCTACCACTTAGTAGCTAGTAAGTAGAAAAGGCATTATTTAAATACTATTATAGTCTTTATCAGTAAATGGATAAAACTAGAATTTCCCAGGCATGGGACTGGCCTTGAAGGTTTAAACTTGCCATCACTAGGAAAGAACAAATTCCACGTTGTAGGACACCTGTCAGTACCCCCAGGACAGAATGACTGTCCCTGCACCCACTTATGCCCCACTACACATTGCTTTCTTTTTATTTTTACCTAAAAAACCCCCTCACCTACACTACAGGAAATGCATTTGATTGTCATTGTTCAATCACGGTGTGCTGAAGACAGAAGCAGCAGAAACTCCCTCAAGTCCAGTAAACATCCCATGGCAATGAGCACCCCCCAAAACCCAAAGCCAGGGGAGCAGTGAGTGAGGGATGGATTCTGAAGGGGATGGGGGGTGAAGGCTTTTGGATGCAGCCCAAGGAAAATGTCAGTACAAACAATGCCTCCAGGGCAAGAGCATCAGCACAGGCTGGGATGAACTGAAACCAAAACTACAGGAGCATGAATTAAAAACACGTAAAAGCATTTGTGATCTTGGGTGAATGAGCAACTGCTATTAACTGAGGAGGAAAAATCATCATCTACAGTAAGGCAAGTTCCTTCACTCACAGCCTTACCACTTTTCCTCCTTCTGGAAGGATCTGGCACCTGTTCCCTTCACCACCCAGCAGTGTCGGTTCTCTGCCTCTGACACAAACCAACCCCATCTATCCTGGGAGTCATGTCCAGTGGGGAAGAAGTGACCAAGAAATGCTGCAGCTGTAGGAAGAGTACTAGAGAGACGTCCAGATACATGTGATTTTATAGACTGAAGGGAACTTGTGGTATTTAGGAATACTGGGTTGATGAATGAGCTCTGGATTGACAAATGCACCACTAAACTGGCTCCACAATGATCCATCAGGATGTGTCTTTAAAAGTAGTGTTTACCTTGCTCTCTCTCTGCCATTCACTCTTCCTACCCCTTACATTTTTTTTATTGTGGTACCCCAAAATCCCTTATCAGTTAAAAAAAAAAAAAAAAAGACTATTAGATTTGACTTGCCAAAGTTTTAAAATCTGGAATGTTTTAAATGTGGCAATTTTTTTGAAGGACGTGCACAATCCTGGAATCTGCACTGCCTAAAGTGTGACTTAACTTCATCCTCAGAAGGGATCCTTAGACTCATCTCAGCAAAAATAACTACCAGGCTTCAAATACTACATCTGGCAAATCTAGAATGATTTCTTTTTTGTATTTACTTAGGAAATCAGTCTCTTTTTTCAATATTTTTTAAATAATAGTATCAAAATAGTGTACAGTTAAAAGCTACCCAGCTCTACACAAATCACACAGAACAAACTACACATGGTCCAGAAAAATTCTGCTACAGTTTTATCAGTTTCCTTCCAGAAGAAATACTCACTGCACACATCACCACGACACCAATACCCTTCCAGTAACATCAGTTTCCAGAAAAAAAAGTGTGTATAAATATACACACACAAAATAAGAATAAAAATTATTTGGTTTGGCATTTTAATAACATCATTAATAAATGTATACAATGGCAAACATTAAAAAAATCAATATGTAAAGGAAATTACAGTTTTAAATAAGAGCTTTTTTAGTTCTGTTTCACACCTCGGTACATTCCTTTAAGGCAGTTTTATTAATATCAAAGATATTTACATACACATCATCAGCTACCCCTAAAAATCACACATGAGCTCCTTTGTTAGGCTGCATCATGTCCTGGACAAAATTTAGAAATAATAATAATAATAATAGGTGTTGGGAATGTTACTAAATCCTCAGAGACTATCAGAAAAGCAAATAGAACATATACATTGTATGGCACGAGAACCTCCTTTGTAACCTGGAACTGGCAGTGCTGGGTTTGGGATTCCTGGGGTACAAAGCTGCCCTGTGCATCCCTGGCACTGGGAGGAGCAGGAACTGAGAAGCTGCTCCCAGGTTAAATTTGGTTTTTTATTTCCCTTTAAGGGCACAGACTGGGAAGGTTAAGAAAGGAAGAAGGAAAGGGGAATTGGCAGAGCACAGAGAGCCACCTGACTGCTCGAGTGCCAGGGAACTTCTCTGCAAAGCAAAGCAGGCGGCGTGAGAAGAGCTGAGGCGGCCAGCGGAGCGGGAGGGGATCCCTGTGCGATGGAAAGGACACATCCAGCTGTGCTGAGGGCACTTCCACTGCCCAGCAGTGCTCCACACACAGGAGTGTGTGCCAGAGTCACGGCAGGGACAGTGAGTGTCCCCAGACACAGGCACCCAGCTGGGGTCCTGGCAGGGTTTGGCACTGCAGTTTCAATCGCCTCGTTCAAGCCGTGCATTTTTCGGTAACGGTAACGTGACGAATGGTTCTGGTTGGGGGGTTTGAGCTGCATCAGTCCCCTGTCAGCAGAGAGTGAGGAGCAGCCAGGTCCTGAAATGAGCCTGGACCTGCTGTCATTCACAGTTAAGAGATATTTTCCTGTCTTTATGGCCTTTGAATTGTCTGTCATACCCGCTATGCCCTTAGTACAGATCTTTTAGCCCATTTTATCACAAAAAACATTTCAGAAAAAACTCATTTTAAAGAACACAAAGAGAAAATTCCCCCTTCTGAAGCTTATTGTGCATGCCTCATTTTTTCCCTTTTTGAGAAGATTTCAAGCTTTTCAATCTGTTGAACTGCCTTCAGCAGTGGGGCTCACCTTCTGAGGAAGCTGCAGGTGACATTATGCACCTGCCTGTTGGACACTCGGAGGTGACACAGGGAACACAACCCTTTACATGAGGAACAGGAATGTGCTTACTGGCTTTAATAAAATAGAACAACTCGTTTTGGGTCTCAGTTCCCATCAACTTCCTCTGAGCTTGCTGCAAATCCTTCCAGACAAATATATGCGACCACCAAATGTACCAATAATGTTTGTTGACTTTAATATAAATCAATAATGAACAAAATGTATCTAGTAAAAGATAACCTTAGAGGGTTCTGATTGTAAAATGCATATGATATTATTTACATTTCTTTTTGCCATCAAGAAACCTCCTAAGCCACAATCAGCTCATGTCAAAAGACAAACAGTAAAAATAAAAAAAATTAGTCAATACACAAACATTGTAAGACAGTCTTATCCTGGAAATGGCATTTGTGGAAAACGGCCTTATATTAAAATAAAAGTTATAGAAAAACCATACCTGACAATTTCCTGTCAGAAACATCTGAACATACATATGCAGAGTAACTCGGGAATGTGAAAAACACAAAGGACAAACAATGTCTCTATAATACCATTATCCCATGACTCCCACTTCTGTTAGTTACCAAGCTTTTCCATGGATGTAAACAAATTTTTCTCTTGCAGTATGCAACAAAAATCAGCATAAACTTTCTTAAGAGCAATTTCATGCAGATTATGCTAACCAAATAAGGCAGTGAAGTGCCAATAGCTGTGAGGTTTTTGTATCTGTATATACAGTCCATTTAAACCAAATTCTACAGCATTTCCTTTAGATTTACAGACGTAAATAGAAACTGCTAGTTTTGGGGGTTTTTGGCTAATTATTAGCAGAAGCTTAAGCAAATCAGTGGCTAATTTCAAAAACAGAAGATGAAATAAGCTTTGTTTTGTTTGTTTTTTTTTTTTCCCCTGGAGTAATTCTTGAGACCTTAAAATCCTTGGTCCTTAGGGAGATGAGAACTGTCCTTTATTCAGTAGATCTTAACAGTGCAATGTGCAATAATTCCTAAGACCATCTACACATTTTCGGCAGTAGACTCCAGTAGAGCTCCTTGATTCAAGGAAGGAAGGTAGGTAGGTAGGTTTTTATTTCTTGCCTGCTCTAGTCACGAAGAATGTAAAAAATTCCCTTAATTTTTATTAATGATTCCTACAGTCGCTGTCTTGTTACTTCAGATATAAAGGCTTCACACTGAGATACTGAAGGACACTTTTCTCTCTGTGTTCAGTCGAAAGGCAGAAAGAGAAAAGAGTGTAAGAAAAAGCTTCAAGTGTAGAGGCACAACACACAGAGTTCAGTCACTAACAGCACTAACAGCATGCACCAAAGGGGCTCAGGGAAATCAAGAAGAGGACAGAACATCAAAAACAAGCTTTATAAAAAGACAGATTCCGTGGAGTACTGAATTCTCTGAGTTTTGTTCAACTGTTCTTTCAGATTTACCTGTCCCTGTCTAAAAACTGACTACAGTATTATTTCTTAATGGGATTTCTTTGAACTTTCTTCTTCAGGAGATTGGAAAAATAAAAATAAATGTCATTTTTACAGGCAAAAGGCTGAGCAGGGTGAGGTTCCCTGCCTCTGGAAGAAGCTCTGGAGAGCCACCGGCCCCGGCCTAACGAGCGAGCGCGAGAGAAGCCAGGTAAGCAAGCAGGATTTACATCTGGTTAATGCAATGTGCTCTGGGGCTGAGATGGAATGCTGTTAGTCTGTTGTAAATGAAATTCATCTCATTTACAGGTTGGGCAGGAAACTCACCACTTGGCCCACAGCTCAGGTAGTGGGTAATAGAATTAGGAGCTTTGTTGCTCCCTAGACCTGCTTTTTGAATTTCTGCTTTCTGGGATAGCTTCCACATCTGCAGAGAAAAGCATTTCAGGTTATTCATTGTGTTTATCAGGACATGAAAAAAACCCCTCATGCATTAAAACACATTCTACTCATTAGGAGAGCAAAAGGATACATAAACACTTTCTGGTTGTTTTTAGGAGGAAAGGACAGAGGAGAGGGACAGAAGAAACTCACTGCAAGTGCCTGCTCAGCTACACTCACTGACATTCATCTCAGCATTTACAACAGCCAGGTGTTATTCCTAAAGCCACAGTCAGACACATGTCACCTTTAGCTACACCAACCCTCCATTTGTGCATGAATGGAAAGAGAAAGCAATAACGAGGTGCACTCACAACTGACTGACCCTAGCCTAGCAAAGAACTCCTTTCACTGTACTTGGACCTGCTGCACACCGACAGAAACGTTCACATTCAGTTCCACAAACCACAGAACTGTCTTTGCATGCAACAGCTCAAACATGCAAAATGCAGCATCTGAATTCACCAGTCACTGAAAGCAAAGCATCAAGCAAACCCTGAGCCAGGCAAACCTCAACTGTGAGCAAACAGCTGAGCCTGAACAACAAAACCTCTCTGGGCAGCAGCCACATATTTAGTGTTTATCAGTGTCATGCAGTCCTAACTTAGCACGGCCCAAAGGCAGCAGGAACCAAGGAATGAGCAAGGGTTCCATGTGTTCCACAGCCTGCCATGCACATGTGGCTGAGGAGCAGCAGGGATTGGGAATGGAAAGAATTCCATGGAGACTTCCACTATTTGAACACAGATAGACATCCACGAACTTCTTGTTAAAGAAGTGAAGAAAAAAAGATCCTTCTGTCCACGACAACATTTTCTTTTTTTCATATGTAACTAACAAATGTAGCTAAGACATTATTCAGAGCCATTAAACGCTCTCTTGCAGAACATTCTGCTGCTGCTGAACTCAGTGGAACAAAACAAGTTCTTATCCTCAGAACTGAAATGCAATTCCTTGCAAGTTTATAAATCAGAGCAGAGTGGCTTGAGCTGGACATGGTTAGTGTCCAGCTCCAGCAGACTGGAGACACTAGTACTCCAGGACACTCATGCTTGGCAATTCCAAAGCCCTTGGGGATTAAGAAGAAAGCTGAGGACAATACTGGAAGTTTCTGTAGGTGCCACTATCTAAGAACCCAAGAGGAGGAGGCAACACCACACCCAAGGCTTCTGCAGCCAGAGCTGACCTAAAGCAGCTATGCACCTTGATCTGACCAGCATCTCTGCAGGGCACAGGGAAGAAAAGCCAGACCCTGGCAGCACAGGATCAGTTTGTATTAAGGGCTCTCAGAGCTGGGACTGTAATTCTTTAAACAATTTGCAAAATGCCTTGTGCACACATCACTTGGGATACTGGTGCTCTTCACCCTAATCCCAACACAACTACAGACAAACTGGAGTGAAGCCAAATGGCATAACCCAAGACCAGAACACCGGTCTTGCTCTGTGAGAGTAAACATGTGTGAAATTGAGATTATATAGCTCAGATTTCTCATTCTTTTGCTGCTGAGATAGTTCCAGAGGGAACACAGCAATAACTGACTGCCCAGTACTGGGAGAAGTGAGAGATTTATCAGCCTGGAAACAGTGAGTGGGGAAGGACTGGGGAAGGATTGTGTCACATCCTCAAACAGTCACTTTATTCTCCACACACATTCAATATCCTCCCCTTGCTCCTGACCTGCAGTGCTTCCCATCCCATATAAAACAGAGCCCTTCCAGACTCCCACATGGGATAGCTGCTGCTCTTCCTTGGGGAGCTGTGGATTCACTGCCCCTCCCTAATTAAGCACTAAGGAATTAAAAGTTCAGCCCACACAGTGGTTCTGTGACTGCCACAAAACTGCTGGCAGAATAAATGCATCTGTACAAAACAGAATGTGACACTTGTTGTTTTCAATCTATATTTTCAATTTTAATTATTTTTCCTCTAGCTATACTGTCATTCAAAATTTTTATAATGTATTTTAGGTCCCACAACTGGCATAACTAATGTCCTCTTGCAAAGAAGTGCTCAAGTTGAGAGCCTAGTGTGATTATAGCTTAAATCTGATACAATTTTAAACTCTGTCTAAATCTACCATTGAGAAGTTTCAAGCACCTGCAGAGACAGTGACACATTAACAAATTACTTTTCAACATTTCTCTGTAGCTGCTCAGCTGGAAATTAAAGAGTTATGTGCTGAAGCATTCATATCCTCCCACAACCTTGCAAGCAACTTTGTTATTTTTTCTTTTATTCAACTGCATTAATTTAACATTTTCTGTTATTTTGTTACACCATTTGTTTTCTATTACATCAGTGGTATTTCCATTGACAAGAAAAAATGAATTTCCACCATACTCAAGACAGTTTTTTATTCCCATGCATCACAAGGAGCCTGTTATCTGACCCCTGATAAAACCAAACACATCACCACAGTTGTACCCATGACTGGAAAGACAAAGCAGACCAAAGGGAAAAGGTGGAAAAGGTCATTTTTTCATGACAAGTGCTGTGTATCATGCAACTACTTAACACCTCTTTGTAAGAATTATCATTTCTGTTCAGGGTTATGCATGGTCTATGTGTTTATTACTCAGTATGGACAGTAATTAATATTTACTGTGTGAACTAGAGGCACTGAATTATTTGGATTACTGGGCACTTGTTCCTCGTGCATTTATGCCATGACACGGCATAAATGAAAAGGGCAAGAAGACACTGAGATCTCTCCAATTGCTTCTCCCCATTAGTAATTAATTTTTGAAAGAAGATTTTTTTTTCCCCCAGGTAGATATTCAGTGTGTTATTGATAGCCCTGAGAGCTCGAGCTCCAGTGCCAGTGCTGTCCTTGTCCCAGGAATGCTGTTCCCTGCGCCGTTCCGGGCATGCGCTTGGTTTAACATGCAGCAGTAACCAACAGGAAAACACCAAAATATTTGCAATGCGTGACAAATAAAAATAGAGCTTGTATTATAAAAGCATGCAAAATATACACAGTGCAATTAATGTTTCATGCAGACTTTGGTGGGGTTACAATTCCACATTCAAACATGCCACAGTCCACAGCCACCGTCCGCAGGGAACAACCGCCCCGCGGATAAACCAGGAATGATTCCTTCACTGGAGGGAAGTTTTCTCTGTCATCCAGTGGACATGGAGAACACCTTTATGGCATGTTAGACATAAATATTTAATAACACAACTTTCTTTCATACACAGCCATACTCATACCACAGGGTCTGGTTATCTTCCGAGACCAGCAGCGGGGACTGGGCCTCGCCGGGGCCGGAGGCAGGGACAGGGTCCCTGGCCAGAGCCGCCCGTGGGTCACCCTGAGCCTTTGGAGCAGCACAAGGCTGTTCCTGGCTCCTCAGCACTGACCTAAACGCCGACACGTTTGCCTGGTCGGCCGCTTTGGAGGTGGATCTCGGGGGCAATCCACTGATATTGCTGACTAACTCGGTGTTGAGGGATAAGAAGGGCTGGGGCGCAGCGAAGGACCCTGCACTACCACTCCCAGACCCGCTGGCTTTATCCCAGAACACACCCGCGCTCGGCAAAGTCCTCTCACGACAACCTGGCCTTTCCATCCTGGAAGGCTTGGGAAGCTCAGGGTTACCTCCTACGTGACGCGGTGCGAGCGAGGGAGCTGCCTCGCCCTGCGGGCCGCGCTCCCCCCTGGCAGGCACACAGTGAACACAAGGAGAGGACACCCGCAGCGCCGGGTACTCACTGGAGCTGGGCGGAGCGCTCCTGTCGGCCGGGGCTGCATCCACGGACACGGGCGGCCTACTGTCCTTAGACAAAAAATCATGGATGCTCGTCCTTCGGGTGGTTCCTTCTGCCGTGGAAATGACGCTGCTGGCACGAGGTAAGGTGGCGTAGGGGTTGCAGTCCCTGGATTGTCGCTGGGTCACAGTTGCTTGGATCTTTTCCTTCACGGACCGGGCCTTCCCCGGGGCGCCGGGGGTGAATTTGATTGGAGAGCTGCTGAAGTAGAGATCTTCAGCCTTCCGGAGGCTGGGCCTCGCCAGCTGCTCTGGTTTGAGGGATCGTCCATCCGAGAAATCCACTGTGTTTCTGACGCTCAGGGATCTCACGATCCCACAGCCAGCTGCAGGCTGCTTTCGGAGCTTCTCCCTCCCTGCCAGCTCCGCAGACTCAGACAAGCTCCTCATCACTTCATCTAAAAGGTTCTCTTCACTTGCAGATTTCATCTGTAAAAACAGAAACCAGATGTTTCTAAATTGCAATTTTTACCTTAAGCAATTTTTGTGGACATAAATGAACAACACAAAGATTTGGGTTTTTTTTTTTAGTTTCTCATCTCTAAAAGCAGTATTAAACATTTATGACACATACTTTGGAGTCTTCTGTACAGTTTACAAAAAAAGAGTTTAGGTGAATAATATTCAGACTCAGTGAAGACTGCAGTTGTTTTCAAAGTGGTACCAGAGACAGCTGGGTAAGAATTAAGCTAAAGGCATTAGGGAAATGCTCTGGGAGAAGACTGGAAAGCTTGCATACCCTTGCACCCAGAATGGGTCTGTGAGGCTATGAAAGGGATTCTGGCATTTATGAACAGCAGTGGACCTGGCTTGATGACTTAGGTGGGTTTTATTTCATATTGCCACAAGAATATTGTCTAGTGCTTAAACCCCAAAAATCCTCCTCAGGGAGACCACGAGTGAAAGCCATTTTAAGTACCGAGCCAAAAAATGCAGAATCTTCTCCAGATTTGTGTCACCTGCCCCAGACAACCCTGGATCCTCACTCCTGAGAGGCCCCAGTCACAGCCACTGGCTAGCTTGATCCTACAGCATGATATCCTACAGGAGTTTGGGCAGATCTGCTCAAGAACCAGGGATGCAGAACCTGGAATTCCAGCAGAGATGAGGTGATTTGGAACTTCTTAGAAACTGTCACTGATTTACAGAAACATTCCCTTCATCTCACTTCTCTCAGATTTCAAAAAGCTCCAAGGTCACTTTTGGTTTCCCAGTACTGTTAAGAAGATGAAACTGAAGCAGACAGGAGTCTCCTCAGGGAATGAAGCCAAACATTTTCCTTGTGGTTGATGCAGGACAGATGTGACAGCAGCTGCTGCTGGACTGGAAGAAGAAGAGTGATCCCACTCCGAGCCCTGGTGTCCCACACACTGCACACCTCTGTCAGTACAGGTCGGCTTTCCTACCCAACCCAGAGACCACAGAGGGTCAAGCTTCAAAATCCCACCGATTTCCTGCTGGTGGAATTGGACAGGGCACCAGGAGTCAGTGCCTGTGACCTCCCAATGCAGGTGTGACCGACAGCTCCAGGAAATCTTTAAGGAATTCTACTCGCTGTGCCTTGCATTAATTCTGAGCCACAGATGGGGCACTGTGTAGTTAAATACTCTCACACTGACCTCGCTGGAGTTACTCTTGTTGCTTTCTTCCAGGAACTGCTGCAGGGTGACAACTTCACTGCCAGGGGAGCCCGTTTTGGTCTGTTTGCCACGGCTCTCGGGCGTCTCGGGCGTCCTGTGCTGGAGCACCGGGCTGGACCTGGTGTGCCCCTTCAGGTACTGGATGGGGCTGCTGCTGCTGCTGGACCAGGCCTCGTGCTCGTGCAGCAGGCTGAACTCCCCGCTGCTGTGGCTCTGGGGCCTGCTCTGGCTGTTCACTGCACCTGCTTTGGGGGAAGGCAGTAAGTATTTCCATTAGAAACACACCAAAAAGGTGTAAACCTGTACAGCCCCACTGAAATCTGGAGTGTTACCAGATTCAGTTAGCATTCATTCTATTTAAAAAATAAAAAAAAGCCCAGTTGTTATTTTTTGCTCTGTAAAATTACACTCCCCTGACTTACCTGTTGCAGCTCTTCAAAAATGGCATGATTTTTTAAAAATAAAAACTACCTTTCACTTACAATCTGGGCCTCCACCTACATAATAATATATTCCAAGAGGTTAAAGAGACATCTCCACTCTTGTTCAGCATCACTGAGAGGCACAGGGTAATTAAATGTTAAAGGAAATACAAAGGATTGAGTGGAAAGAAAATATTTTCTCCAATAAGAACTATTCAGGAATGGTGCTGCTCCAAAAATTCCTGCTGTTACTCCTAGTTTGTTACAACTGGGACCTGGAGGAAGCACATGGTGTTAGATGCAAAATAAATTCCACAACACCAGTTCATTTTATTTGTCAGTAGCTATGAATTGCTTAAAAACACTGATGCATAATCAAGTATTTCCAGCTTCATGTCACTCCTAAGAAATGAAATGAAGTTTGAACCAAGATAAACTGTTCATGGTGGAAATGCCTAATCCTGTACAGACACTGGGGCAAGGATGACCTCAAGGGATCTTTTACAGAAGGGAACAATTCACAGATATAAAATAAAATATTAGAAATATTCAGCTAGCACTCACTCCTAAATTTTCAAACAAACAGACAACATTTAAGAGATGCAAGCCATGAATATTATATGAAGTCTTGAGCTGGCAGTGCTCTAGTCTAGTCTGTACAACAGTCTCCAGCTAAAAAAGCCATGAGCTACAAAAATACATCAGGGTTCTTAATAAATACAATTTAGAGAATACTGATAAACCCAGGGATGTTAATAATCTATAAAAACCAAAATATAAAGGCTTCTAGCATGAATCACATGGGCCATTTTGTGCAGTTGTACAGCACACAGCTCACAGCAGCAGCGCAGTGCAGGAGGATGCTTGGAGAAAAAAAAAAAAGTAGCAACTTCTCATCTTAAAAAGCTTTTCAAGTAATTTGGGGGGGAATTCTTATTTTTCTTATTATAACAATGTTATCCAGGTTAGGTCTGATTTAAAATAGTTGGTAACTTAAAAACTAATACCACCCTTGTAATATTTACTAAAACCATAAAATACCTGTGCTTCCAATCTGGGGAATGAAGGCTGTGGCACACTCAAGGAAGCACAGGCTGTGCTGTGCAGTGGGAGGTTTTTGCTTGTGGGGGTTTTTGAACCTCTACAGATGATCTTACAGAGAAAAGAATGGAAATGAAGCACGGATGTGAATTCACCCCCAGCATACCTTTGACTTCATGGAGTGAAGCATTGTTATTGCTATTGCTAGTGGATGTCCTGCCACTATCAAGGCTGGCTGGTCTGGAAGCTGAATGGAAAATTAGGAGACACCATGATGAACAACATTTTAGCAGAGGACACGGCACCTTCACATTCTGCTGCCAGAATGCTCAGAGGATCATGCACGACCTCCCAGGCTGAACATGCCCATGGGAACAAAGTGGATTCTTACAGATCAGAAAGCGAAGGAATTTCCAGGCAGTCCAAGAGGACACTTTGGAAAAGGGCACTACAGGAATGGCGAGGTACAGAGGAGAGGAAAAGAGAAAGAGTCTAGTTTAGAATTGAAACGGAGTGCTCAGTGGGGAAGCAGGGCTCAGACAGGGGCATGCAGGGGCTGCTGTGGTCAGGTCACTTACAACAGATCTGACAGGGAACCCTGCACAGGGCTGGAATGCCACGGACAGGAGGAGCAAGAGCATCTGCACAGATAAAGTCCTGTACTCCTAAGCCAATACAAGGGAAATGCACTGTTAGTAGCCTCAAAAATGTCTGCTGCTTGTACTCGTTGTAAATGTTTATAGTACAGTTAAAACTTCACTTCTATTAATAGCCTATTTTTCACTTCAAAGCTTTGCTTGAAGGAACGTGCAATGATTTTATAAACTACAGCACATGGCAGATTTGGGGTTCACTGAACAATAAACATTGAAAACTCAGGCCAGATTTGGACTTGATTTTTTTAAGATTGAAATGCTAACTTCCTTTATTTACAATTAACTCCAAATGGAAGTTAAAACATTTTCCCACTAAAAGGGAAAATGTTTTGATGCTGTTCAGATGCACTTCACAAATACTTTCTACCAGAGATACAGAACATCTGTCTGATGTAGTAGTTAAGAGAGAAAGGAGAATCTGAAGAAATGATAACAATACATTGGAGAGATATGAGAATCAGAGAGAGCATGCTCATTGCAATGATGCCATTCACTGTATTTTCACAAATTCATTAACATTCACATCATATATCCTTAATTCATTCAATTAAAGCTCACATCTTACCATGAACTCTTGATCCTGTACTAGAATCATCACTAATACCTTGTGGACTTACATCTTCAAAGGATGTAGTATCTACACACAGAGACATAAAGAAAGATGTAAAAAAAATAAAGTGGAACGATTATTAAAATACTTATAATTGGTAAAACGGTAAAAATTTAAATATTTTTTCAAAGCAATCCATTTTTACTTAGGCAACATTCTGTAGGAAAAACCTTGAAACATTTTATAACAGCAGTTATTAAATGGGTTCATTATTTTAGCACTGCAACTCAATTATTAAGACTGAAAAACTTAAAACATTAAGTCAAACCAATATTTACAAAGTTACATCACGGTGCAAAAAGCTTCTACCTATACCTTTATTATTTAGCAACTGCTTGGATCTGAAGCCTGTGGAGGAGTTGACAGTGGCAAAGTTGATAGCTGTAGTAGAGAAGGCCATAGCTCCCAATTCCTTCCTCCTTTTACCCGTGGATATATCATCAGGACCCTCCAGATGCTCAGAACTACCTGTCCATTGTCCTCCTGCCAGGACCATGGACTGCACCAGGTCATTCATGGCTGGGATGCAAATGAAAGCAAACGATCAGCGTGGGCAATGTACCTGCTCCGGTCGTTAATGTGCATTGCAAAGGTCGGACAGTTTTCTAAGCATTAAAGCGCCCGCAGCCGGCAGGAGCAAACCACAGCCCGGGTACCGCATGCAACAGGCTCGGCGGGAGGGAGGGCTCAGGCTCCTGAGCGCAGGGAGGTGCTCAAAACGGGTCTGGCAGGGGTCGCCATGCGCCAGGTGCTGTTAGAGGCTCTGCCAGCTGCTTGCCGGGAGAAAATGGGATGAGCGGGGACAAAACGGGCACGGGTGCTCATACAACGGAGTGCCGGCGCCGACACGGGATCCTTGTACAGTGCAGGTTACTGCAGGCACACTGGGGTTTACAGAGCAACAGAGAGAGGATCTGAAAAATACCACATCTGATGATATTCACCTTTACTTCCCCAAACTCGAGAAAACTGGCCACCCCTCATTAGAAAACAAAACGAAACAAAAGAAATCAATGCAGCATTCTGGCAACGAGAACTGATGAACGCTCGCAGAGTGACAGACCACCAGAGAGCCTTGCACAATCTCCTACACTCGCTTTAAACAAAAAAAAAATAAAAATTACAGTGACTTCTGAACAAAAGGCTTACGAAACGTGTCATTTAAAACCATTTCCGTTAACACAGTGCACTGTAAATTCATATACACATGGGGCCATGTGTATATGGACAGCTATGTATACAAATATATGCAGTCACAAGGCACTGAATAGATTATATGCATGTGCATGGGAACCTGTGGCTACACAGCTGCACAGACATAAAGTATTCAGTGCCAAAGTTTAAAAAAAAAAAAAAAATAAAAAAAGTGGAGGGGGAAGAAAAGTAAAAAGGAAAAGCTCCAGCTCCTTGTACCGTAGCAGGACTTGCACATTGCAAAAGAGGAGGAAAAATAGAGCGCAGTCCAGGGAGAGGTTAGTGAAAAATTAGTAACGGAAGCCAGTGTAGCCATTGAGAAGAAGCTGAACTGTCATAAAGTCTTACACATGGAGCGACGGTAGAAGGCCTTCATTTTGTCTTTTTCCTTCGGTCTGTTCCTCAAAAAGGGCAGTCTTTTCAGTGCACCCACTTTTATGTCATAGCATGAGGAAAAACGGAAACAGGGAAATGAAAGAAAAAAAGGGAGAAGAACAGATGGAAGTTAAATGTTGAAACTAAGGACAGAAATGAATGTCTGAGTTTAAGCTAGGTATGCTATGCTAAAAGCTATCGTTCTCCTGCTTCTGGGTGATAATGAAATATGAAAGTACACAGAAACAGGAAAACTGCACTAGGAAAACTTCCATGGATCACTCAGAAATGCACTGAAAATTACAGTGCAGAGGGTAATACAGTTTGAAGCTCTTGAAAAAAGAAATGTAATTTCTTTGCAGGTGATTACAGGAATTGACCACTATGTAATTTTAACTGCGAAAACCAGCATTTTTTTAATATAAAGAAAAATGTGAAGCAAAAAAAGCTGAAAATGAAAGCAACTCTAAGTACAATTTCTATGTTAAAATATGTTCACATCGTTATTTTGGGGGGTTAATAAATTCTGTAATGGTTTGCCTGCAAATCTAAGAGGACACAGTCTATTATCAGTCTTCAGCTCTTCCATTCTGTGCTCAGTAATAACTTTGGTCATCTACTGTCTCATAGAAAACCTGAAAGGGCCTTCTGATCAATATAACTTATGGGCAGTATTTTGGTAAAATACTAAAATCAATCTGCTTCAAATGTGCAAGTATTTTAGCTGAAAAAACACCAAAGGAAAAAAAAAACCCAAAACAGCAAAAGAAAATTCAAATGTGAGTGTTGCTGTAACGTTTTGGGAGGGCCCAAGGAAAACTGAGTTAAATTCTACCAGGAGAATTACAGAGTTAAAATTACAAATAGTATTAAAAGAGGGAGGAGGGGAAGTCACGAGTTAATCTTGTCCTTGGAGTCAGGAACTCTGCATTAGGAACTGCTGACCTGCCTTGGGTAAGTCTGGGGGCCGATGCCAGGCACAGGAGGCACCATGGAAAGATCCAGAAGGGGACACAGGATGGAATTCCCCAAAGCAGTGATTTCTGCAGAGATGGCAGCAGCTCTGGTTTCTGCAGAGGTCTGTCAGACCATGCTCTGCCTGCTTTGTCTCTGCACCCCCTTTTGGGAGGTGTGCTCCCCCAGCCTGGCACACAGCAGTTCTGTGTACAGAGCAGTGCATATATATCATAGATACCATTTACAAGTGCACATGAGCTACCCTGGCACTGAAATATTCCCTATTCCTCCCTCTCCATCAGCTCTTCCCATGTCTGCACCCACAGGAACAGGTTCACAAACCAATCCAACCATAGAAGTCGTTCTGCTCTATCTCTACTTTTTGTCATCAAGACCACACAGGAAAAAAAATTCCTCTAACTTCTGTAATCCTTTATGGAAGATAACTGACTCCTCTTCACTAGAAACTCCTAAAACCTACGAAAGTGTAACCAGAGGATGCTCAAGAACCATTGGAGTCATCTGTCCTTCCTGTCCATTAACACAGATCCCCTCCAAAAGGGCCGATTTATGGCTCTCAGCAACTGTGCCCACCAGGAAACTCCCCTGCAGCCACTGATGTCCTGCAACCCTGCATCAAAAGGCAAAATGCTTGCAGGGGAAACTGTGTCAGTAATAGCTGCACAGAATTCACCTCAGAAAATGTCCTGGAATAGTAATGCTAATAATTAATCCTGGGATGGCAGAGCTACAGGAGAAATCAGGTGTTCTTTTTCTTTTCAGCATTCCATGAATACCTTCTTGCTTTCTGAGGTGAGAATGAATAATGAGTATTGCAGAATTCCTCAAGTGAGCAGAAAACATCCCATTTTGTAACTCTCCTGCTTGCCTGAAATCCTCTGGGGAATTCTGAATTAAAATCCTGACATGTTTTTGTTCATGCAGAGAACAAAATATAAGGTAGAAATCTTCAAAATGCCTCGGTATTGGGAGCCCAGAACACTCCTTTTATTCCCTCTGTGACATGGCATACCTGCTACTGGTGTTCCTAGTAGAGATGACATTTTACTAACAGCCCTAATTCCTTGGGAAATTGTTAACTTCCTGAAATGGCTAAAGTGGAAGCCAGCAAAGGATATCTGTATTTCTCCACAGAAAACAAAAATCCCCTCTGCCTGCCTTGGGTTTTCTCTGGAAAAGCTCAAGAATGGCCCCATCCAGAGGAAAAGCTCTGCACAGAGCAGATCCATGGCACTCACCTGATCATGAGGGGAGGTCAATAATAATTTGTGGGCAGTACCTGGGAACAAGGAGGCGTGAAAAGCCAAGGTGAAACCCTGCAGTCAGGAGCACACCCTTCCTGCAGGATTAACCTGCCCTCCAGGCACCCCCTCCTTCCCACAGGGATCAGACACAGGCTCTGGCCACGCTGTGAGACATCAGGTGGTGTTCTCTGAGAACAGGGTAACCTGATTTTTGTGCCAAAATCACCTTTCCCAGGGAGATAACAGCTCACCTGGAAACATTTGCATGAGAAAGTGGCCTGTGTTGGAAAAACACAATCTCCATCACCACCCACAAAAGAGGGAAAAACTACAGATGTCACACACAGCAAACACTTTTGAAATCAGTATCTCTGACAGGGAATGGGGGCTGTGAGCCCTGTGTATCCTGGAGATCTCTGTGTCACATACTCAGTCCTCCAGCTCAGAACACGGCTGGTTTGTCCCAGGGAAGGTGAGCTGCCTTCTCCTGTCTCCTCAAGGACACTCAGGACACTTCACCTCAGCAGCTCCTGCTGGAAGCAGCTCCTTGCCCAGCTGCTGGAAGCCAGGGAGGCACAGAAGTCTTCCAGAGCCAGAGGTGCCTTCAGCCAGCACAGGGAGCTCCAACACCTGAGCACTGGCACACACAGGCAGCACTCACATGTTTGCTCCCTCCTGTAGCTCCTTCAGTGGAAGCTGCTACTGCCAAACTGCTTCCCACAGAAAAGAATCCCCACATGCCAGGATTTAGGACTTACAGTCACTCTAGGAGCAGAAGAAGACTGCAAAATGTGCACCATCACCAGCACCCGTCACACTGAGATATTCTCTCTGCTTTGTGAGGCACAAACTGTCTCAGATCTCTGTCTCAGAGACTGTCAGAGCTGAGTTGGCACAAAATGCATCCGAATTCTCTCCAAAACTGTGGTTTCCATGGCGACATGTGTAATGGAGGAAGGTTAGGATCCGGAATTAGATCAGCCCTTCCAGTTTGTGGATAAATACACTGGGATTAAGGGGAACATAAGCAAGGTCCATGGAGTAGAAAATTAATGAGGTCTGAACAGCTTCAAACCTCTTTTGAGGCTCAGCCACCGTAACTGCAGCCGTGGCTCCCCAGCAGGGTAACTGCACACTACAAGGTCCCAAGGATCATGCAAAGAAAACTGTCACAGAAAAGCCCTTCCAGAACATGACATTGCTGACACAGATGCAGATGGGCTGAACCACAGCGTGCACACTCTCAGTTCCCACTGACACACATCCAGGACAGCTTCAGTCACTCCCCAGTTCCACACCACTCACGGTTTGGATGTAAAAGCAACAGTTGCTTTTAAAAATTTTAAAAGTATCTGTTTTGAAACTGACACTGGAAAAGGCTGAGTCCCCAAAGGGGTAAATTAGTAAACAAAAGTGCTAAAATGTACCTTGGAACTATTTTCTTCAGTTATTAAAAAAATACAGATCTGATTTTAACTTCTCCTGAAACAGCATTTTTTGGATGTTTTTAACTTTGACTAAGCTTCTGCAAGAAGCACAGAAGAAAAAAAAAAAAAACACATCATAATGGCTGTAGTAATTCACAGCTGGCACAAACCCCAGACCTGCTGTCTTTTGAAACCCAATACATTAAATTTAAAAGTAGTAGTGCAAACATTGGAAGTGACTGTTAATGCACATGGATTCTGATGCTTTTACATGCACAGCCAAAATGCTTTTGGTGCATAGTTATTAAACAGAACCATTACATCCTGAAAAGTTGGCTGTAACTACCTCTCAAGTTGTGAGAAACTGGGCAGTTTATGATTCATGCCAAGAGTGAAGAACAAAAAGCACAGATAATAAATAATAATAATCAGAATCTGACCATATATATCCTAATGGGGGCACCCTAAAGGAATAGCTATCAAATCTTTCAAGATAAGCAAATTGTGTCTGGAATATTCCATCTAATCACAGTTCTGTAATTCTGTGAGTCCTCATTCTCCCTCTCAACCACTTCACTCCAATTTCAGCATCAGTAACAATTCCTGTATTTTTAACAGGTTGTGTTTCTACATTAACACTTCCTTTGGTTGCATATCCAAATTTCATCACTGGTTTTGTGTGAGATGCTGAGGGAACACCTTCAGACAGAAGGTGTTTTTAGCAACTCAAGGATGTTAGGACAGCCACAGCTTGGAAAACACTTCCAACACAAGGGGGAAGAGTCATGCTGGGACAAGAGGGAGAAACAAAAAGGGTCCTTGTGGTGACACCGGGCATTCTATCCCAAATCCTGCTCACCTGACCCACTACCAGTGCCTGCTTCATCTTACCCAGGCACTGTGAGTGTATTTTAACACTAGCATTTTGAGCTACAGAAATGCTCAAAACTAGTTCTGCTCAAACACTTCAGGGAGTTTGCAAGAAGTTCTGCCCTTAATAAATTAATTCAGGCTTCATTCCTACGGACTTAGAAATGATCTTTACAAATCCTCCACAACACGCGGTCTTTTCCAACATTTAGCCAAGGTTTATTCACGGAACCAAGCGGTTTGCAGTACTCACTGCTACTCTTTTTGGTGCCCAGGGTCTGCCCATCCTCCAGGGAGTTGGAGCCCACGGAGGAGCTGTCCTGGCTGTCCTGGTGGGGCAGCTGCAGGAATCCCTCGCTGGACTCGGAGCGCGTGGGCGTCAGCGCCACCGACTTGAGGCGCTCGCGGTTCCCGTCCTTCTTGGACTTGATCAGCTTCCTCATCTTCAGGGTGATCCAGTTGCCCCTTCTGTCATCAAAACCACAGCACATTCACTGCATTTACAACACATTGCTTAGGCCTGCAGACTCAACTAGTTTTTATGAGCAAGACAGAGGTGATTCTGATCCCACAATTGTAATGGAATCTCAGTTTTCAGCGGGAACAGAACAGGTCTGCCGTGCCTTAGAGCTGTGCTTTATTTTACATCATGTTCATCAGTACCTTCTTGGTGGAGATGGCTCATAAAATTTATACTGATCCATTATCTTCTCCTCCAGTTTCTCCTTCTGCCGCCTCAATTCATTTAGTTTGTCACTGCAAACAGAAATTAATGATAATTTATGCTCCAAAAACATATACAGGATGCGTGGGCAGCACATTCCTCTGGGAATCTCTTATCTGACAAGCATCACCTTTTGTGTGGAATTCTTACATAACCCTTTGTTTCTCATTGAAAAAGCAAGAGATACAGCAAACAATCAGCCTTAGGCTTAACCTCATGATATAAAATGGAATAAAATTCCATTTGCCTGTTTTACACATTCCTCCTTTTTAAATCAAGTGCTCTATCATTTAGATAAGCACATTTTCTCTTCTCTTGAGTCCACTAAAGAAGCTTAGATTACAAATCTGCAAATTAATCTACAATGTATGTAGACTCATGTATGAATATTATCAATCTACAAATACAGTGATTACAAATCTAAACTTTGCCAGTAGTAGAATGAGGAATAAATATAATTTTTATTCCTTATTTGCATCATCAGTAATGAACACAATTGCACTGATCCTTTAGAACTACAAATATAATGTTGATATTTTGAGTTATCTGTTTTACATTCATCACTGAAATTCTTATTTTAAAGAGAAACACTTCAGAAGCAGCACATGTGTTAAATTCTATATTTAACAGAAGCTTTTTTAAAGAAATGCAGGTATTGGTGTCACTGCCCTAATCACAAGATTTCCTTGTTTTCACAACTCACATGTACTGCCTTTGCTCCACATGGAAGAGATCCTTGCTTTCCATGTTCTGCTCCAGTAATGTTCTGTTCTGCAGCATTAATGTCTGGATTTGATCCAGCAGGTGTCTGTTTTCCTCCTCCAGGTTTCCTTTAAGTTGGCTGAGCAGCTGTTAAAACAGATGAAATTGCCCATGAATTATAGGTGAGTGTATTTTACACACAGATAATGAGATTATCAAGACAATTTAGGTCTACAGAGGGGGTCTTAAAGTCAAATCAAACTCAAAATGAAATCATGAATCAACTGATAAAAGCCTCTGATGCTTTAAATAATTTAAACCAGTTTCCCTAATATGAGCCTGCGATTGTGTATTGCCTGTACAGCAGGCAAATTAATTAGTCTTTGGATCCACTTCATTATCTATAAATGACTGATACTCCAGCACTTCATATGATTTTATGAACCTATAAATACAGTTATGAAAATATTCCAGTGATTCCAGCCATTACAAGCAGCAGAACTCCCACATACCTCACACTGATTATTTAGCTTTGTTGATGTAATATCCAGTTGCTGGTACTGTTCCTTGAGTTTGGAAAAGTCAGCTTCCAACCGTGTTTGCTCCAGTTTGGAATTGTTCAATAATGTTTTCAGATTCTTGTGGTCAGTTTGCAGCACTTCATTCTCCCTCAGGAGCTGACTGTAGGTGTGAGTGAGCCTGGGATGCAAAGACACCATCAAAGAGTGCTGGAAATGAATTTGTTATCCACACTCCCTCTGAAACATGACATTTCTAACTACTCCATAAAATATACATACAAATTCCTTACTGTCACATACTGTAAGTTATCCCAGCCTCATTTTCCTAGGAATGTCTTCTGCCTTTGAGCCAAGCACTACTCTCTGTACATTTAAATACAAAGCAGCATCTCTACATCACAACTGGTTTGAAGAATAAAAGAATCTTACAAAACAGCCAGGCTTTCCTGCCAACACAAAACAGGAATGGCCCAAACTCTGGCAATCAAGGAAGTTAAACATATCAATTCCTGGGTTCCCTTTGTTCCTCTAAGCGCTGCCATGCCCCTTTATCCCTGTGTCCCCTCAGGATATAAAGATTATTTTTGTGGGATCATGAATATATGGAATAGCAGTGTCAGGTGTCAAAGAAATGCGAAGAACACACCACTTGTTTAGGCTGCACTGGCAGGTGCCAGAATTCTCTTTACCTTTCATTTTCATCCCGAAGCTTTTTATATTCTGCTGCCACAGTTTCGTGCTTCTCACTTTGCTGCAGCATTTTGTCCTGCTCTGTCTTGAGAGCCTTCTCCAGTTCTTCCAGCTGCACTTTCTGTTTCAGCAACTGATTGTACCTGCAAAGACAACTCTGTTAAAGTCATAATCTAGTGATTGAGTGATGGTGATTTTATTCATTCTATCAATTTATTAGAGAGCTGTGGAAGCCCAGGGCACTGGGAATATTTCTCGGTCCGCTCTGGGGTGCCCTGACCCCCAGAGGAGCACTGACTTTAACCCTCATTCATAGAGAAAGTTTCCTAGACTTCAACAGACTAGAATCCACAGAAATGTGAAATAGATTACAGAGAGCAGTATAGATATATCACTTGGTGAGAAATTTAGGTTTTGGGATTTTTAGTATGTTGTGGATGGAAGCAAGATGGAGGGTACAGGGTGCTGTCCTGGGTTTCCTCTTCATGCTTCTTCTGCATGGGTTTGGGTAGCATTTTGTAATTGGGCAGAAAAGTCTGCATTGTGGGCTCTTTGGGATCAACTATTGGGTTAAAAGAGAAAATAATCTAGGTGTCAGTTCTTAATTGGATAGTTTAGTCTTAAAAGACCTTGTAACAAGAGACTGTCGGCCATTTTGTGCCTTCTAATGAAAAGCTGCTGAGCTCACAGTAGTGAGGCTGTTTTACCGATAAGAAATAATAAACACCTGAGTTGGAACATGAGCTACCATCTCCAGTGCCTTCAACCCAGACCCAGAGAAACCAACAACTGGTACTGCCACCAGAGAGCAGTCTGAATGGCAGACTGGTTTTCTCACCTATCCTCCAAGTCCTTGTGCTCCACCTCCAGGTTCTTGTGAGCAGACTTGAGGCTGCCGTGCTTGGCGATGAGCGACTCGTACTCGGCGGCCTGGCGCTCGTGCAGCTGCTCCAGGCGCTCGTGGTCCTTGAGCAGGGCCTCGTAGAGTCCCTTCAGGTCCTCGCGCTCCTTCAGCACCGCCTCGTTCTCGTTCTCCAGGGCCGACTGCTGGATCAGCAGCTGCGCGTTCTGGTTCATCAGGGACGTGCTCTGGGAGTTCAGCGTGGAATTCTCAACCTGCAGCCACAAACGTGCAGCAGTCTGAGTTGTTTTATCTCCCACCTAAAGATTGTTTGGGTTTAACCCTTCTCGACCTTCTGGCTGTTCCACTGACAAGGATTGTATTTGCAGAGAATGCCCCAATGAAGGCAGGAATGATCCATCTGACTCCATGCTCTCAGAAGGCTCATTTCTTACTTTATTATACTATATTATACTTAAGAATACAGAAAAGATACTTAACTGAATGCTAAAAAGAAAATAATGAAAATTCGTGACTCTTTCCAGAGTCTTGACACAGCTTGGCACTGATTGGCCAAAGAGTGAAAATAACTCACACCAGAATGCCATCAAACCATCACCTGTGGGTAAACAATCTCCAAACACATTCCACACATGAACACAACACAGGAGAAGCAAATGAGGTAAGAATTGTTTTCCTTTTCTCTGAGGCTTCTCAACTTCCCAGGAGAAAAATCCTGGGCAAAGGGATTTTTTCAGAGAATGTGAATGCCACAGACAACCTTTTCCTACATCCCAGGAGACAGCTCCAATTCAAAATGTTCCAAGAGTGTTTTTAGCAGAAAGCATTGAAGCATGTGATTAAATTGACTGGGATGGATCAAATTATTATTTACCTTTCAACATCTGTTAAAACGTTATCTTGCTGACAGGGCTGTTTTCCTCCAGCACCAAGATACCTTGGAGAAATGGATCACCAGTGATCCTAATAAAAGCCAAATCTGTGACATGACTAAAATAAAAGAGACTTTCACACTGGCATGGAGATCTATTTTTAAAAAATTCTGTACTGTCGCCATAAAACCTTCATGGCATCCACACATTCCTTCACAATGAAAGTTCCAACAGGAACATCCATTTAACAGAGAGAGGGAGATAACAGCACCTGGAAGGAACCACCCAAGTTCTGCTCTGTGCTCTTTTGTGGAACAGCACCAGTTCCCCAACAACTGTCCCAGAACAGTATTCATGTGTATTCATACACGAAAGCCTTTAACATTAAACAGTTTATAAAGCCCCAATCAACCAACAACTTCACTCTTTGTGCCTCTGAAGAAATCCTTGGTATCTTAAACAACTGGTGCTTGTCACCTGACCTGTACCAGCCTCTTTCTCTTTCCTGTTCAAGAGATGAAAACCACAAACTACTGAGCCTTCTAATACCCTCGGGGTATCTATTAAGGAAAAAAAAATTCCATCTCTCACTCCAGTTCCTGCTGTTACCAGGGAACAAATCCCTTCCTGCTGGAACTGCAGTGCTCTTTGTTACAGATGAGAAAGCTGAATCTTTCACTGGAAATGAAGTCATGTCTGATGGCATGGGTGTGCTGGGAAACTTCCCAGGCTGAATCCTGAGTTTGGTTAGGTCAGAATTCCCAGTTACCCTCTCAGACATCCTTTCCCCTGGCTGCTCCTTATGGCTATCAGGAGGAAGAGAAGAATGAGCTGCCGAGGAACAATTCTGGCACAGTCCAGGTCGAGCAGCTCAGTCTGCTCTTCAGATTTAGACAGCAGTTCATCACTTTGATTTTCCTGAACATATTTCAACTTCCACTTGGATTTGCAGTTCATGGAGAATTGTCTTGCCAGAGAGGAAAGGGCTGTGCTGCTGGGCATGAGGCAAAAAAGGAACTACATAGATATTCCTGGGGTTTTTTGATGAAGGGAATTACAAAGCACTCAGAGAGCTCTGAATCCCAGCAATCCCCTTTTAACTGGTTAAATGGGATACTTCCATGTCATATCTACTGGTTTTTAACAACCAGAGGTGGCACAGGGTGTGCACCAATGTCCTGTTTTACTGGTGTGCTGTGCACTAGTGACATTTCAACATGGCAGCAGAAAGTGCATCCATGGGACAACAACATTCTGCTTTCCAGGAAGAGCCAGGAGGGGACTCCAGGCATCCACCAAATGTAAATTTTTTGTTCCATTTTAACAGTCCTTGACATCTTGATTTCCATCAGCTCTCCATCCTTTCTGACACTCTTTACTACTTCTGCTGCACTGTGGGGTTTTCATCCCCTCTTGAAGGAGTTTTGATTCTTAGAACTCCAAAAAGCATTAAACTGATTAACAAGAATATTTAATGTTTAAAGAAAAAAGACACATATTTAATAACCCTATTAAACCATAAGGGTAACATTTGAATTTGGCCAGAAGAGCTGCAAGACTCCAGGGACAACCATTTTTATAAATTTCCATGGTCCCACATTACCCTTTTTACTGCCTCTCAATTATCTCAGTTCAGCTCTTCATATATTTATGCAGCTTTCCATTTTCTTTTTTTTTTTAATCTTCTGTACTTAAGTATCTTGATTGTCCTCTTAGGTATAGGCTTATTTTTTTTTTTTTTTTTAATCTTCTGTATTTAAGTATCTTGATTTTCCTCTTAGGTATAGGCTTATTTTTGTTTTTTTTTTTAATATTTATAAAAATAGATAAAATTTATTAGAATATGGTTGGACACACTACTTTGCTGATCTAATTTAGATGTATAAACACAGTAAAATCTCAATGAATCTTGGAAGGCTTGGTACGAGAATCTACTCTGCTTCTAAGTATAAAGCCAAGATTTTACATTGGACAAAAAATTAAAACAGATTTCTAAAAAAGCAATTATTCATCAGCAAACAAACTATTTTTGACTGCTGAGTGCAGATTATTTTCACATCACCTTCTTTTCCATGTCTCTGCAGGAAGCCAAATGTAATTTTAAAGCTAACAATAATTATGCATTTTAAGTTTTCCTTTGGAAAAAAAACCCTTTAGTTTTATTTTTGAAAGCAAACTAAGCAGCATTACCTGCAGCTTGGCATTCTGAGTTTGCAGAGTTGTGTTTTGCTCCTGCAGGGACACAGTCTGTCTCTGCAGGGCCAGGATCTGGGCCTGCAGGTTGTTGTTCTGTGTCTCGAGCTGCTTGAGCTGCGTTTTCAGCGCCTGCTTCTCCGCCTGCAGCGTCGCGTTCTGGGGGTGAAAACCACACAAAACCTCAGCTCACAGCTGCTCCAGGAAGTCCAAGATAAAACAGAAGTGTTCTCCAGACCACAGAAAGCAGCAGGACCATGCAGAGATTGACAGGGTGGGATAAAACTGCAGAACAAACACACTTTGGGGGGATTTATCACTGGAAAACCAGGTAACAGATGTTGCACCTATGGAAAAACAGGAGAGGAACCTCCAGGACTGGTGTAAATAGGGGTTATATAGCAGGGATTGGAGAGAGAGCTGTGGATGCCAAAGGGCAAATTCAGGTTTTCACATTTCCTTTTAAAATGCCTGTCAAGTGCTTTATGGCATCCCACAGAGCAGAATCCAGCTGCTACACACACTGTATTTAACTCAGATTGTGCTTGGGATGGGAACAAGGTGATCAATTAAAGTGTCTTAACAGCACCCTCATTTGCATTACTGGAATAGCTCACCACAAATAATTACCACCAGAATCATATTTAAAACACATCTTACATTCCTCTCCACCTCGATTAATCTATCTTTAACTTTCAGTAATTCTCTAGTAGTCTCCTGATTTTCTTTCTCCCACTTATTGACAGACTGATTTCCTTCTCCGCTTCTTGGAGGAGAATTCTGAACCATCCTTTCCTCTTCTTGTCTCTGCTTAAGAGCTTCATAGTTCTTCTTCACCTGGAATTATTTAGGACAACTCAGGTTAGGTTTAGAATTTTCCATTTTGTACTTCCAAATTTATTACTTTATTACCTGACCACGACCCTTCTCAAAGAACAGGAAGTGCTGTTACTGCATTTGTAAATTTGGTTTTTGTACATGTTTGGGGAGATGATGTACAAGTTATTTATGGACAGTTTAACCCCAACAAACAGCAGACCTCTATTTTATATTTTATTTCAGTGTTTTTAACTGTATCCCCCAACTTTTATACTAAAAATTCTACAACCAAGGTGATAGAATTTCCTTTTTCAACCCATCTACTCAGACTGCTCAAGGTAGTCCAGAAAATGTAACTGGAAATGACATCTCAAATCAAATCAACTCCAGGATATTTACCCAGGTGACATCTTCATGGCCAGTGAATAAGCTCAACAACTTTTTATGTGATTTCAACAGAGTCTTAAAAGCATTCACATCTTTGTCCTGCTTTCTATGACCTGAATGATGCTCATTTTTTGCTGTCTTACCCAAAAAGTGCAGAAATAACAACAGCTCATTTAATATTCTAGAAAAATGCCCTTTTCCTTACTGTCTTCAGTTCCTGACGCAGCTGCTGGTTCAGATTTGTTGATTCTTCCAAACGAGCCTCCAAAGCAGCAATTTTTTCTTCTTTTATTTCCAGAGACTTCTTGAGTGTGGATTCTAATTTGGACTCCAAAAGCTTGTACCTACTGGCCAACAGCAAAAAAAGAGTCTGTATTTTAAATAATTATTTGAAGTATTTAAATTCTGAAATGTTCTAGAAAAGACTCATAGCTACATCCAAAATCCCTGGGTGCTGTGGTCAAAAATTTGAAGACACCTCAGCATCCACAGCAAGTTCTATGCCAAAAATAACAAGATGATGGTTGTCAAAACCATTTTTGACTCCTCCTTTCTTTCAAAACATGTTAGACCCAGAAAAAGACCCATTGAGGCACACCAGGGGGGTGCTGGGTTTCTCTGCATCGTTCATGAGTGGTGCCTGCACTCCTTCTGGCTCCACTCCAGCAAATCCAGCAGGGACCTGAACTCAATTAGGATGTGAAGTATTTGGAGAGCAAGATTTTCATCAGTTCCCATTTCCTGCCAGCTCCAAAGGGGAGGACAGGGAAGGAGATGGAGCACAGGACTGTGCAGGTGCACACTCGTTTGGTGCATCAATGTGCAAATTGCTCACTCAGCCCAGCTGCTGGTATTTTAAGACTGCTGCCACCCTTGATGTGCAAAGCTTCCATTTTTAACCATATTCATGCTATTGTAGGGCACCTAAAACCCCTCAAAATGTCCATTTGAGAGAGAAGTGGTGAGATTAAACTGCATTGATTTAGAACTGCACATTCTTTATGGGAAATACCAAAACCCACAGTCATTAATCACTTCTAAGCAGTTCAGTCCCTGTGTGTGGCTCAGAATCTGGAGAACACCCCACTCCTCCCCACAGCTGGATAAAATAAATCCAACCACTGATATCCCCCTTTCTAATCCTGGCTGCTGAAGGATCCATCAGTTTAGTGAAGGGAATAAACTGCAGCAGACTCCTGAATGGACAATGGCATCAGATCCAGGCAGGAACTGGAGCAGAAGACCAATGGCAAGAGAATTAATAAGCAGAAAGCTGTCCAGTAGCATCATGCAGCAGGAGGGGAATCTGAGATTTTCAGATATGACAACTAATTCCCAAGAATTTATGGAATAGTAGGCAGCCTGAGACTAGTAGAATATACAGTATTTCACCTTCCTGAGCTGAAGCACACATTTGGCTACAAGCAATTCCTGCTACTGAAAAATGACACAATTCTATAGAAAACAAAGGAGGAAAAACAATAATAGCAGAGACCCAATACCCACTTACACTTTGAACAATGAAAGATGGTACAAATTTTTGAATATAACTGCAAGTTGGGTTATTTTTGATTCAGAGCCAAAATCCATAAATCTGTTTGTCCAAGGAGAGCAGGCAAGAGAAAATGGAAAACACTTCAAAGTTAACTCATAAAACGTGGCCAGTTTAGACCCCAATAGAAAGACTCTGAGGTGCTACCAAGATAATTTCTTAAAAACCACAAGCAGCTCTTTCCAATCAGGAGGAAGAAAGTGGTACATTTTTAATTTCCATCATCAAAATGACAGAGGCAGATGAAAAACCACACTGAGAAGTAATTTTATCCACAATGAACCCAGCTCTTCATAGCCCTGATAGAAGAGCTGGCTCACTTAAGTATTGTTATGTAAGGAAAGCAATCCAGGTATCTTTGGGATAAATGAAGAAGTTGAGAACAATGAAAAAGCAGGGTATTTATGGGCTGAACAAAACTTCAAACCAATCCTAGTTCTCACTTTGAAAACAAACATTGCCCTTTCATGATCCTCCAGCTCTACATGGAGCTTGGAAGACCCTCAAGCCAGCAGCAGAGCCCAACCACTTCTAACCTAGAACTTGATTAAATGTTGCTCCATTTGGGCTTCATCTAAGTTTAAGCTTCACCTTGGATCAAGGTCTGGTGGTTTTTTATTTCATATATTTACCTAGGGACACATCAAATGCTTATCGAGGGCTGTATTCTGTGTATTCTATGACACAGAAATGCTTAAATCAGAAGAAATCCAACCAGTTCAAGTTCTGAGAACTTTTCCTGAACTCATCTGGGAGCTGAGGAAGGCAGGTGAAAGCCATGAGCAGAAACCAAGAGGGGGTAACACATGACTCTGGCATCACCCTGTGACAGAGCACTGGGAAAGGGAAGCTGGATTCAAACCCCAAGTGTTATTTGGGTTCCTTTGGACACAGAAGGCACCAGATCAACCTCCGTGCTCAGGACAAAGCTGTAGTGACAGATCATGACAACAGAACTGCACTGAGAAGCAAAGCTTGGCTGGAAGCCCACACTGTCTGCTTCGCTCCTGTCACCAATTTTCCCTAAATCCCTGCAGGATAAGGCAGAGGAGGAAAATGCAGCACAAGAGACAGATGTCATGGCAGCTGCCTTCCAGTGGCAGGTGTGGAGGAGTGATGGAGCCACCACCAAGTTCTGGAGACACTCAAGCACTGGATACTTCCCAGCCAGGGGAACTGGGAATGCATTTTCCTTGAGAATTGAAGAATTAGAAGGAAATGGTTGCAAGGAAAGAGTGAGACACTTTAAGGTAATCACTACGTGATAAAAACCATTTGTGTCAGACAGGCAGACAAAAAGGAAAAAAAACCTACTTTGAGCTAATTATCTTTTCCTGCTGCTGTTGCTGCTGCTGACTAGAGCATAAAACATTTTAATTATAATTAACTGTATCTCCTGACATACTTCAATGAGTCTCTTAGCAACAAAAAGTGGCAACTCACTGTCACAGTCAGCTGAATGTGAAAGCACATGAACTAATTAATTTCCAAAAATATCAAGTTCCTTTTTGGGTCTATGAGTGTGCCTTAAAAATCTAAGAGTATGCACAGAACCAGTCTGCAAAACCACTTTCTGAATACAAAAGATCCTCATTTGTCCTCTTTGTCATGCAGGCCCTGCCATTGTCACCTGTCATCACTGCTCTGCTCATCGTGCAGGAGACGCTCCTTGTTCAAGCCAATTTTCTCAAGCTCGTGGGCCAGTTTTTCCAGATCATTGTTCATCTGTTGAGTCTTCAACTTCTCATTCACCAAGTCCTTGCACAGAAGAAACTACAGTCAGTATTTTCAGTGAAATAAAGTAACGTAGTCTCAGCTCTAGGAGTGCTGAGACAAGGGTGTTTTATCACTACATGACTGGAATAATTCAGCTTTAAGTCTCCTTCCAGCTGCCAGCTTTCAGCTGGATCAGAAATTACACTGCAACTAGAATATGATTTCCCTGTGCTCTCTTCCTTTCCCTTTATAATTTCCTTTAGAATTTCTCTTTAAATTTGGTCTGGAACATGACACTGAAGGGGAAACATTCCAGCAATATCATATTCTTCCTTTCCATGACTATGACTATAGAAATTTTAATTATCTAATGCATAAATGTGTTAACAGTACACAGATTAATGCAGAATAAAACCCCCAAATCAGAAACCCAGATATAATTTCTGTACATTAGAAACAGATTACGATGGGAATGGAAACTCCTCTGTGTTTACCTCTCTCAAAGTGACCAGGGTTTTCTTATCAATGGTAGCTCTTTTCACCAGTTCCTTGTTTTCCTTTTCCAGTTCTTTCAGGCGCAGACACGACTCTTTATACACAACTATTTCTTTAAACAGAGATTTATTTTCCCTTTCCAGATTACTGATTTTGACATTGTTTTCTTCTAAGGTACTATCTTTAATTTCTGCTTGCTGTCGAAGCCTTTTATTTTCCTTTTCCAGCTGTTTCTTATCCTTTTCCAGTTGAGAAGTCTCTTGTTCTAACAACTTATTCTCCTTTTCCAACTGCTCCAGGCGCTTACTGGAGATTTTTAACTCTTCCAAGTTCTTTTGCAGGGTCTGATTTTCAGTCTCTAAATCTTGCAATTCGCTCTCTAATTGCTGAATCTTCTTATTGCTGTTTTCCAGGGCTTTCTGTAGCCTTTGGTTTTCTGTGTCCAGGCCTTGGTAACTGACTTCCAAGCGTTCAGTCTTCTTAAAAGAGGCTTTCATCAGTTCAAGGCTCTTTTTGAGCTGCTCCTTTTCACTCTCCAGCTCCTTATTTTCTAACTGTAACTGTGCCACTTTAATGCTTGTACACTTCAAGGATTCAATTGTCCTCCGTAACTCTAAATTTTCTTCGTCGAGTTGGGAATTCTCCTTTTCTAACGATTCTAATTGAAAAGTGAGGTTTTTCAGGCTGTCCAAGGTTTTTTTCAGCTTTCTGTTCTCCGTCTCCAGGTCAGAGTTCTCTTGTTCTAAGGCCTCGATCTTCTCACAAGTGATTTTTAGGTTGGTGATTTTCTTCTGTAATAACTCATTTTCCTTCTCCAGACGATGCAGCTCGTTCTCTAATTCTTCTGCCCTCTCCCCTTTCTCTTTGTAGTGTTCCAGTTCTTTCCTGACTTGTTTTTTTTCAAATTCAATCTTATTTAACTTACTGCTAGTCTCTTTGATAGACTCATGGAGGATTTTATTTTCCTTCTCGATTTCTTTCATTCTTGCCTCAGCACTGATTTGTGAGCGCTGCCTTAGAGAAGCCACAGTTTGATTCAAGTGTTCATTTTCTTGTTCTAAGAGTTTAATCTAATTTGGGCAGAAAAATGGTAAAGTGATAAACAATGTGCCAACAAGGAATTGCTTTCATACCTAAACTGAAAGATACTCATTGTATCATATGCACCTTTTAAATTAAAGAAAATCTCTTACTCTGCTAATGTTTATGTGAAGAACTACAAACATTATTTCAAGTTTGACAACAAAGTAAATATTCACATCTCTTCCTCTTGAATATTAATAGATAAACATAAACCCAAAACTAATAAAGCACAAATCAAAAGAAAGCTTTACCTATTTCCTAGCAAATTTAATTTTCATTTGTGTTTACCCATGTTTAGATTGTTTTTTCTTACACTCTGTGATTTCCAGAGCTGTGTCCACAAAGAACAGGACTGCAGCAAGTTCTAAACCAAGCACGAGATGGAGGGAGGTGTGGGAGCCACAATAATCTCTTTATTTCATTAGGAAAAAGTAGAGGTGATGGGTGGGAGATGAGGGAACCCTGATCACATTCAACAACAACTTGAGAAAAAACACACCAAAGTTACACTGATTTCTGAGTTAAAAAGAACCTTTGGTTACTCTGTTTCAAACCAGCTTCAGAGAAATTAAATCATAATTTATGATAGTGGAATTATTTTCATAGGAAACATTTTCCCAGATCTACCTCAAGGATAAAGGCAGAACTTAAACCTTAATTTTTAGTATTTCTTGACTCTTTAGGTTGCTCAAAATCATTTGGAATTATTTGGGCATGTAACACCAGACAGCAAAATCCAGCAAAACTGTTTGGATCAATATTTAAATGTACACTAATAACCCAGTGTAAGGGATGTTTCAACAATAAACTGTTTGGGAGAAAAGCAAAAGTGCTGCTTGCAATGAAAAACAGACTGAGAAAATTACAGGCTGTTCCACAGTGAAATCTGAATGGAATTATTAATTACAGATCCACAGCTCTGCTCCCAGCAATGACACACTGCTCTGGAATATTCACCAGAAACTCCTTAACAGGTGCCTAAAAACACAGCTCTGGAGCACCTGGCATGGCACTGAATTACTGTCCATGAATTCTGCTTCTAGAATCCCAATTCTACAAAAAGATCCTGATAAATGCCTCCAGGATTTCAGATGAGATCAAACAAACCACCTACAGTCAACTCCAGTGTCAGCACAGGATTATGGAAGATATGGAAGATGCTGTTGCCCCATCAGCCCCTAAATATATTATTTTTAAGCAGAAATAGGCCCACTGAAATATCAGTCCTAAAACAAGATATGTATCTTTAAATGAAAGCAAACCTTCCATGCCAAGCTTTTTCTTTTCCACCTCCCTTTTTTCCTCCTTCTGGAATTCCACTTACTGATGAATGGCCTTTAAAAATATTCAGCATTTTTTGAAATCTAATATTCTGCATTTCAGAATACTGTACTTTAAATTAAACTAAATGGCCAAGTCATCAGGAGGTATAAATAGAATTTATAAAAACTAACTGCAGTTCTAATTCTGAAGGACTCAATTCCTACATCTGGGAATTCCAGAAACTTCCAGAACTCTTTTTCCTGCTGGCTGCTCTGCAGACACCTCAAAGGTGCCAGTGTCCATCAGGCACAGGTACATCTTTTACAAGGAGTCAGATGCCAGTTTTTGGCAGGCACAAATAAATCCAGGTGGTGACAGCAGGAACCCATCCCAGTGCAGGGCAGAATGATGGAGGCTGCTGCAATTCCCATCAGTACTCTCACATTACTCCAACATTACTCCACACACTGCCAGCTGCCTGGGACTTGCTCTCCTCCTCTGGGAGGTGTCTGGCTTCCCTCCAAAGTTCCCAATTTTCCCTCCTGGCTGAGCTACACCCTCCAAGCAGCTCCAGCAGATGCCCACGAAGCCGTGGGAGTGCTCTAAACCCACCAGGAAAGCCCCAGCCAGAAATGAGTCACGTCTCTCACTGCCTGCAGCTCCCAGCAAAGCTGTTTTCCTGCAGGAACCTCCTTTTGACAAATCCACTACATTTACAGTCCCTTTATGTCTGTAAAATGCTACAGAAGGAGACCAGCAGAGCACAAAGCAGCATTAAAACTTTTGGTTCTGCAACTCACTTGCCGCTCGGAGTTCTCTCGAAGTGCTTCAAGTGTCTTTTCAAGCTGTGCTTTTTCTTTCAGCAAATCTTTACTCTGATTTTGACTGTTCTGAAGACTTTGTTTCTCTTGGCTAATTTCATTCTCCAGCTCTTCAAGCTGGAAAGAGAAACAAAAGTTTTAAAATGTACTTAAAAATGACAGTCTTAGCTGGGTTGAAGGCACCCTTATAGAAATGAATAAAGCAGCTTAAGGGAAAGAATTAAACAGAATTTTCTAATCTTTAATTGAAACATTAATTTCTTCTGGGAATACATTTACTCCTGCCAGAATTTTCTCCCTGGCTCAGAACACTGTATCTATAAAGTACTTTAGTGTAAAAAAAAAAAAAGGGTCAGATTTTCTCAGGCTCTAGATATTTCCTCAAGCATCTTTTTTTTCTCTTAAAATTCCATTTCAGTGAGATTCATACTTCTCCTCCAAGACCCTTTTAACTTAGGAAGGTTGAACGTTGTTTGATCTTACTTAACTATTTCAAGAGATAATTAAGATGATTCCTTGGGAATTAAATACATGAGTTTGTTTTGTCAAGTGTTTCCAACTTGCAGAGAGCAAAGCTATTTAAAATTTAAAACACCCAAGCATGATTTCTCTGCCACATTTACGTGGCAACAAGTTGACCTGAATGATGTTTGTGTGTTTCTTACACCTATTCCTTTCTTTTGTACCTCCCAGCTTTCTTTTGGGCACAGCACAGAGGCTGCTCCAAAAAACACCAGCTTCTTAGGAATCAGAAAACTTATGGAAGCATGGAATACAGTAGGGATTTCTTTAATTTTCTTTTTTTAATTATCTCTTAGCCACTCTAAGAATAGTCTTTCACCTGAAATAGCTGCTGAAGTCAAAGCTATTTCAGGAACTTTAGACATTTTCACTCCACTGTAATTAGCCCCAGCTTCTTTTTTCTTTATCTGATTTTTATTCTCTATAAATACCACTGACTAAATTATTCTATTTGATACACATAATTTGAGGAGCAAAGTACTGTTAAACCTGGCAAACTCCCCTCTTGAGCTGTTTATCAATTCCTTGACCCACCTTCTCCCTCCCTCAGCTAAAATGAGGACACAGGACCAAGTTTTCAGCTCAGACTCATCACTCACTCTCCACTTCTGCAGACACACTTTCTTCTGCTACATAATTACCAAAATTAATGCTCTCCAGTATTCTAAACCACTTCCATTACTCATCATATCCCCAATACATTATTATTTTTTCCCCTCACTGGTCTAAGACCTTTCTGAATAAACTGGTCACACACTCACACAATAGAGAAAAACCTCTCGGAACGGAGGTGGTTTCATTTTTTACCATAAACTTACAAACACTGTAACTCCACTTAGACCCTTGTAATGCCTTACCCAAAATAACAGCAATTCATAAAATTATCCTTTGGGAAGAAAATAGCAAAGAACATCAGGCAGCTCTCACACAATCCAAGCACACCCTGACCTTTACCTTCTTGCTAAGTCTTTGGTTTTCTTTTTCCATTTTCAGAATCCTTGAACTGCTGCCTTCCACAGAGCCCACTGCACTTTGGAGCTCTTCCACAGTCTTCAGCAAACTTTGGTTTTCCATTTCCAGCTTCAGTAACCTGCTGGATGTCAGCTCATTCACCTCATGGCCCAGTGATTTCTGTGGCACTGCAGGAGAAAAACACCATTATTTAAATAAAAGGTGACTTATTAGACAGAATTCTTTGGATTCTGCATTTTTCAACTTAGAGGATTTAACAGCCTTTGAAGGTCCTTCCAATGCCCTCTTAGTGACCAGAGCTGATAACGATTAGAAATATTAGAAATTAAAATATGTTCTACTCTCCCAATGTTCCTAATCACAGCACAGATTTGTTCCCCACAACTCAGGACGTGTCTCCAAATTCCACAAGTGCTTTGCACAGAATCCAGTTTGTATCCAAGCATGTTATATAGAGGAGTCAAAATTTTTACCACAGCTCTTCTCCTTAACTTTAAGAACAGCAAAGCAAGAAGACTCATGATCTGTGCTGCAGAGTACAGAAGTGTGAATGGCAAAGTGTGCAATTTCAAGGTTTTTATGGGGTTTACACAACTATTTAACTGACCCAGAACCACAAGAACAGACTTCTCATGTAGGCTGTATCTCAATGGATCCATGGGAATCAGCATTTCTCCACAGGACAACATGCTCTGTACTTCAGAACTAAGGACATTTAATTTCCTAATGCTACCTAGCCTCTGAGATTTCAATTTCAATCATTTATGTTTACCTTCAGAAAGTTCAGTAGTCCTGTTTATCTGCTCCAGCTCCCAGCCAAGATGCAAAGACTCATCCATACTTTGTTTCTGAGCCATTTCTAGGGTCATATTTTCCTCCATGAGCTCCTCAATCTTCTTTCTGTCCATATCACGCTCCTTGAAAATTATTTCACAGCTTAAAAGTCTCAATACATGCAAAGTATTTCATTATCTATATTCTATTGATGTTTATATTATATTATCTTTATTATGTTGTCACAGGGAAGGGCAAAGTGCTTTTTCTGGTCTGCCTAGACATTGAGATGGGGAGGAACTGGGAAAAGTTGGGAGAACTTTGAAGAGGACAGTAAAAAGAAGATTTCAAAGAAACTCTTCTCCTCATAACCTACAGCAATTACTCCCTACTCTTCCAAAGTTTACTCCTCTCTGAATATTAGGAAGCAAAGTGCACGGGTAAACACAATATTTAAGTGACAATTGATTCACATAAAAAAAAAATCAAACCTATTGCTCTCAAACCTCAGCATTTATCATCACATTCCTTGTCTTCCCTGCTATTTTGAAGGCTTTTATTAAAAATGGAAATGAAATTCTGTGTGTATCAGTTGCCTTTGCCACCCTCTCCTGACACTCACCATCTCCATGTCATGCAATTTAGCTTTCAGCTGTAGATTCTCTTTTTCTAACTCGTGCAGTTTATCTGAACGAGCTCGGGTCCCCTCCAACTGATCTTCCAACATTGTCTTGGTTTCCAGCAGCACTTGATTGTCTTCCTTTAACTCCTGCAAAAATGGAACAACAACAACAAATAAATCCCAAACCAGAAGCATTCCCCTGCTCACGCAAACTTTGATACACATCACAACCAGTTTCAGAAACCCAAACTAAACTGGGAGCTGAAACAGACTTTTATAAAAAGCACATTTACAGCAATTCCACATAAATGCAACTTACAAATTTCTGTGAAAATAAAATCTGACGTGAACGAAATACTCCCTAAGCCATTAAGAACAATTAAGGTGTTGATAATTATAATCAAACCATCAGAATCTCTGTGATTTGGGCTGTGATCTGGAAAGATGTACTGCATGTACAGCCCAAAATTAGGTTTATAGGCCACTGGGCCCAAAGTCAGGCCATGATGCTGAAAATGCAACCACAATCTTAAAATACAACCAGCCACTCTCAAAGGGCCTGAGCAGCTTTAATTTGGGTACACAGAGGATTTTTTTAATAGCATCTGATGAAAGTAATGTGCAAAATACATAATTGGCAATTTTCCTCATGATACAAAGACAAAACTTTTCAAACTTCAGCACACAGTCAGCTGCAAAATCTGAATAAAGATCCCATAAATATCCTTCATACTCCTCCCTACACAAACATGAAGTTAACTCACAATTATTACGAAGCAAACCCAACTAATTAACATCTATCTGTACTGAAGAATGCTTGAAATATCCAATAGTTTACAAGCTGTGAAACACAAACAATTTTTTTGGGTGTTTATTAGTTTAAACATTCTATGAAAATAAAACTTCCACTGTTGTCAAATCCTGTATACTAATCTGTTTTCCTTAACTAATTTTTATACCATATGGCACTTGCCCACCAAACTTGTCATTTACAGACAGAATGATGGCCTGATAAATTCCTGCATGTTGATTTGCCTCCTAAATTACTAATTCATGCCAGAATTCTGTTTCCCTTGCTTGGTGTTGGTACATCTTTTTTTAGTGTATTTTATGCCATTGTGCTATACTCATTTATGTGAACAGCCTTCCCTTTTCCCAACACCTGCCTTAGAAAATTGCTTTCCTTTAGGAGTCCTACAGGGGGAGAAAGGAATTATTACATTTACAGCATTTTTTCAGTTAATTCCTCTGTGGGTTTCTCAATCCATCCTTCACAGAGGCTTCCACTGGCCTTGCTAGCTTGGAGCTCTGGTGAACACTGCTGACTTCCATGCCGTTAGACACGGAAACAATTCCCAAAAAAATGGAATTTGTCACAAAAACCTGACTGCCATATTCCAGAGCAAGACGCTGAAACGCTTTCCCACATCCCAACGCTTTCATCTCCAAACACACTTTGAAAAAGCCCCAGCCAAGAGAAGAATTGTGCTTCTGGGTGATTTCCCCCCTGAATTTCTTCACCTCCACCCTGGCTTTGTAGAACTCAATGTCATGGAGCCTCTCTTTGTAGCGGCTGACTTCGCTCTCCAGCTTGTCCACGCGGATCGCCTTCTCCCGCAGCGCGTCCAGCTCATCCCTGTACACCCTGGCAGAGCGGGCATCCGACAGCAGGTTCATGTTCTGGGACACAGGGAGACACAGGAACACAGGTAAGGTGAAGGAGAACACAGCTCCTTCATTGATTAAATGAAGGGGATGCAGAGGGGGATTGTTCATTCTGAGAAATACAAAGAAAAATCGAATATGTTGGAGAGGATTGTAGGTGATTGTATGTCCAAGGAAACTGCACTGGGCTTTTTCAAGGACTCACTACAATTATATACAATGTATATTAATCTATGTATTTAAGGTTTTCCCCCTCATTATCACCACACAAAGTACAAAGAAAAATCAGACAAAACTGGAACATTTTCATTTTAAGATCTTCTCAAGGATGCACTGGTGGCAAACTGCTTGAATGAAGAAACAAAAAAATCAGAGAAGAAATACTAACCTAAGTCAGGGCATTTTTTCCCCATCATAATACACCAAATAAAGGAGTAAGTTACACCAGGTCAGGTTCAGAATGCAAAGCAAAAATATAAACATGAAAACATACTTAATATCAAAAAAGAGTGCTGAATTTTCTGGTGGTGGCAACTTTTCTTAAAATAATAAAATGATTAAACCCACACCTCTTGCTGAAGCCTCTTCAGTTCAGCTTCCATCTGTTCCAGTTCTTGTTTACAGTCAAGCAGCTGCTCAGTCTTTTCCTCACTTGAAGGAGAAAACACAATCCAGTTAAACACAGCCACAAACCCTGCTAATGATCACCAGGTTTGAGAACAAAGTGCTGAGATTTGTGAGGCTTCCATCTTGAACCCACAATTTCAGGGACATCAGAGTGCAAAATTTAGTGTTGTCATTAAGATTTAATTATTCTTTTGGTTTTAGTCTTTATCTAATATTTTAAATGCTGATAAGACTTTTCACAGTGCTTTAAATTGTTGTCTCCTACTCACAGGGGGCAGAAAACAGGGTGTAATAAGGAATTTTTGCAATAAGGGATTTTGTGTAAAAAGCCACAGGCATTACACATGAATGTTACCAGGAGATCCACATCCAAAACTCAACTCAGAATTTCAAATTACACATGCAGAAGGTCCAAATTCTTTCCAGGAGAACCAGACACTGACCCCTTGTCACAATCCAGTAAAGCCAATTTTAAAAGCACTTTTATAGCTCTGTAATTTTTCCTTTTCTTGCAGAGAATTAAGGAGTTTAGGTGTCATTACTCTACTGAAAACGACACTGCTTAGTAAGCTCAGTAATTTCATGAAAACACAATGAATTTTAACTTCATGGAAACAACACAGTGTCTGTTTTAGTCTACTCAGAAACCTGTGATAAAAACAATTTGACATAGAATGGCACAATTCTTACATGACTCATTCCTAACTTCCAACTCATTTCCCAATCCTTAAAAAATGAGTTTGTTAAACCATGAGTAAGTGCAAAGGAAATATTTAATTCTCTCACAGACAAAGAACACCTGATGTTCAAAATTCAACTGCACCTCAGAACAAACAGTATTTGCTGGAGAAAAACCTGCCAATATTGAATATTCTTTAAAAATGTATTGCATATTCCAATGTGTTACTGTATTATTCCACATTCTGCAATACAAGTAAGAAACTAAAGTAGAAAAGGGGGAAATAAGAAAATTTAATGGACTCTAATGTATAATGCTATCTCAAAGCAATCATACTAAAAAATAGGTATATTTTAAACAAAACTAGAGCAGTTGTTTTCAAAAATGAGCCTGTTTCTCCATGAATGATCATTTTGGAAAAGGATTGTTTGGAAAAGGTCACTGAGCCTACAAGCACAGGAGGCTCAGCTCTGCACAGCTCAGTGCAACATCCCTGTCACAGCTTCTCCTCTCCAGAGGTGCTCAGAAACAGGCAAACAAACACAAATTTATTCCTGATTTCTGTAACTTTTCCATCAGCATCCATATTCCTCTTATAGCTCTAGATGAGAACACGCAGAACTCAACAGTCAGAAAATGAGGTGTGCAAATTCCTTCTTTGGAGTTTCTGTATTCCCTGGTTTGCATCCAACTGAAAAATAATCTTTGCAGACCTTTTATAGGAAATTACATCTGCTACACTGCATATTAAACCAGGTATGAAGGTTCACTGCCAAAACCAGATTATACATAAATTTTATGCTGGGTATTTCCAAGTCTGGAATTAATGTAATTTAAAATTTATCAAATAGATGCAGCATTTAACACTAAATGCTGCAGACAGAAGTTAATTCATCCAAGTCTGGTATTTTAAGATACTGCTACACGTAAAGGGAAATTATTTACCAACTGAATTCAAATAAGAGTGCAAAATGTGGACTGTTCTGAGCCATCAGTGTTGCCCTAATTGCACGCTTCAGCTACAGACTGGAGAGGATTGGACTAAATTATACAGAACATACCAGTGTTCACTGTTTAGGCTATCTATTAACTGTCAATCAAACTAATAACAGCAATTTTTTCACTAATTTTCTTGGTGCAGCTGTTTATAGAATATCCTGGGCGGGCTCATTGCAGGAGACACATAATAACACAGACATCAGGAAAAAAGAGCCCCATCTTTTGTCCTCTGTTCCTCATGAAGACCATGCTGTAGTGGGGGAAGGGGATCCTCAGAGTAAATCAACAAGATCCTTAATCCAGCCAGCTAGAAATCATCTGATGAACAAACTCTGGGAATTGTGACTTATGCTACCTTTAGCTTGTGATTTAGTTTACCTGTCTCCTCTCCCCATTGCTGAATTTTAAAAAAATAAATATTTATGCTGTTTCTACACATATTGAATCTCTTCAGGTTGAGCATTTTAATTCAGAACACACACACACACACACACACACACACACTTCACTCTGCTAAAACAACTGACACACTGCTACAGGAGAAGCAGATTCTCCACAGGTCTGTTATTGATCTTCTCTCAAATAACTCCTCACTCTGCTCACATCTGCTCCTTGACTATGGAGACAAAATGCCCACAGAAACCTACAGAATCAGGAGCAGTTTTCAGGAGGAAGTAAGTGTTGTCTAGACAAGAAATCTTTTACACAGGAACAAAGAGGTGGGGGACAGGAAAGCATTCTAATGGAAATTTTTTGTCCTATCTGCCATGATTTTAAACCATGAATTAACCATACTTGTTGGAAACAGGTCACCAAATCATGCTGTGGAGAAGGAATCATCTCCCTTTAATGATCACCTGGTTCGAGAACAAAAAGCTGAGATTTGTGAGACTTCCACCTTTAATCCATGATTTCAGGGACATCAGAGAATAAAATTTAGGTCAAAACATCATTATGAATACAAACAGAGACAAACACAGATGAAACATCCTATTTGTCCCATGGATCCACAAATCTCCCTGTATTATAAAAACACCCCTCTGGGGAGCAGTAACTAAAAAACCCATTTGAATGGACCAAGAATTGGTCTGAAGAGGACTAGAAGCGTGCCAAGGCAGCATTTGGAGAGGATCTGAGTGCACACTGGTGTAACTATGATATTATGAAAATCCTTTGCTGGGATTTTTCCCCTCCTGAGAAGCTGAAGAGCCTCAGGAGAGAAATGTAAACAATTACTATCTGCTGCTGTGGAATGCAACAGGTGCATCCATGATTGATTGGTCCATGTGGATTGTTTTCTATTGATGACCAATCACAGCCACCTGTGCCAAGGTTGTGAGCAGTCACAGGATTTTGTTATTCTGTTTTATTCTGTTTTGTTCTTGTTGTAGCCTTCTAATCTCTGTTCTTTTAGTATAGTCTTAATATAGCATTTTAATATAATATTTAACATAATAAATCAGCCTTCTGAAATGAAGTCAAGCCTCGTGTCTCCACACACAGAGAGTTCACCACAACACATTGGTACTCACAGCTCCTGCCTGAGCCTCCTGATCTTGGCCTTGGCGTCGGCGAGCTCCACGCTCAGGTGCTGCCGGCTCTCGGTGCGCTTCATGCCGGGGGAGCCGCACGGGGACTGCGCGGCCGAGGCGTGCGGCAGGAAACGGAGACAGTCCCGCTCCTCCGACAGCTCGATGATGGTCTGAGGAGGCAGAGCACAGCCTAAGCTCCAGAGGGGCCCTCACAGAGCCACCTCTGGGGTGTCGTTCACATCAAACGCTGCAATGGCACGGCAACCATGGAAAGGTTTTGGCCATCGAAGAGGTCAAAAGTTCTACATGCAGCTCTATGCCTAAAGCAAAGAGTTGTCGCTGTCATATTTCCTGAAAAATCCTCTTTGCCCAGGATTCTTCTCCTGGGATGCTGAGAAGCCTCAGAGTGTGTTTTGCTGCTTTGGAATGTGGCTGGAGATTGTTTATCCAACACGTGAATTGTTTTTGTTTAATGACCAATCACCGTCCAGCTGTGTCGGACTCTCTGAGGAGAATCACGAGTTTTCATTATCATTCTTGTTAAGCCTTCTGATGTATCCTTTCTCTATTCTGCAGTATAGTTTTAGTATAGTATTCTTCAATATAGTACAATAAAATATCATTTTTGATATCATAAGCCTTCTGAGAACATGGAATCAGATTTATCATATTCCTCCTTCATCCTGGGGACTCCAGAAACTACCACACACAGCTTTTGAACAGGACCTTCTGCTATTTTAAATTTTGTTTTTCACTTCAGACTTTTAAGCCCACAAAATGGCCAGTATTCAGAATGGACTGGGTAATGAAAGGTGTGAATTCCTTGAAAACCACCACCTCTTGAAAGTAAAGATAAATGTATATCTCTAAACAAAATGAAAACCACCACCTCTTGAAAGTAAAGATAAATGTGTATCTCTAAACAAAGTGGTGTTCTTCAGCGTGCAGCAGCATCCTTAACAACTGAATGAAGCACCAGATCTACAGGAATATTCCTATGTCCCCCTACAAATAAAGGTGTTAGCCAAATATGAACATCTCTCATAGTTTAAAGTATTTTTCCTTTGATTTGCACAAAGGCATCACCCCCATCCTCTACCCTCTGTTTTATTCCTGTCAAGGCTGTGATCTGGAAAAACTGTCAAAGGAATATCTGGAATAATTGCAACACTGACACATCCACTCTACTGAGGGGCAAATCTGGGACCACAGAGATGATTCACAACTCAAACATTTAGTAAATACAGTTCTGTTCCTTGATTCTAACATGATACAACAACTGTGCCTCAAGATAAGCCTGCAAAGCCTCCTCTCCTGGTATGAATTCTGCTTTGTCCCCCTGAAACCTGGACAACAGGACATGGGAATAGAGCAGCTTTCAGTGACTGGCTTGCAAATTGATGGGTTATTGATTCCTGGTAAATGCAGCTGATACAGCTTTGGATTCTCTGTTTTCAGTTACTGATCAATGCTGAAGTTGTTTCCCACTCTGGCTGTGTGGGAAAGATCACCTCTTCTCTTTTCTACTTTAACTTTCCTACATCATTTAACAAAGATGCACAGAGGAACTACCTGAGACAACTTTCTGGCAGTCAGGAATCCTTGCTTTAACATGTCAGCAGAAAATTAAACTGTGAGTTACAAAAATACTGAGCTGCATTATCTCAAAAAAAGAAGATTTTTTGTATTTCTCTTAAGCCACATCCATACCTCTGAGTGCTCATCTCTTTCATCTATAAGTCTTTTTAAATGCAATGCCATATTTTTGAGGAGAGGCTCAACATACTCTTGTGTCAGCACAATGACATCCATCCACTGCAGGTCAAACACATTTTCCTGATTATGAGTTACCTACATGGGGTGAAATGAAAGAGAAAAAACTCTTGAAATTTTAAGAGTAGAAAGCAAGCAAAAAAAAAATCTGCAGCTCTAGAGGTTTAATTCTCTGGATAAGGTATGAAAAAACATTTAAAGTATATTTAATTGTAAGTAAAGGAAGGGTTTTTTGTCTACCTGGAAGCAGCACTTTGTCCTTCTGGCAAGGTGACAATAACATTATAAATTATCTACCACATACATTTGATTAGAATGGTATTTTATAAAGAAATTTGCATATAAAGATTTCACTAAACTAAATTTGCTATATGTAACTAAGAAATCCTGGAAGCAACAGACTTGCTTTCTGGTACTGCTCTAAAAATAAAACCCAAAAATGCTCAATCATTAAATCTTTTTGTGAATCAAGTGAAAAAATAAAAGCCTTTTTTGCTTACTACAACCACTCAATATGCTAATCACATATGTGATTTACTTGCCATTGAACACGTGCAACTCCCCCTCCTGCATCACAATATTCCATCTCAAAAAATCCCCAAAATTAAAAGCAAACCCCCCCGCCAAAATACCTCCTGAATATGGGCTGCAACAGCTGCTCTGGTATCAAAATCCAGACTTTGGATTCTTTCAATAAATTCTTCTTTTTTCTGACACTAAAAATAGAGACATCTATTTTATACACATTTATATGTATAATGGCAAGTATTTTAATTCTTCTTTTGCATTTCTTAAGAGCTAAAACTTATAAAGCAATGGCCACATGACTAAATTATTATCCAATAATTCTGGTGACCAGCAAATCCGTGGTTTATGCCATGTTACAGTAATTATAACTTTCAACACTAATTAAATGATACAAGGAAAATCAAATTGAAATGGTACAAGGAAGAGGTTTCTTAAAATTGCTATTTATTCAAATTCTGTGATAGTTTATTAAATACATGAAACAGTGCAGTGAGTTAATTTTCAGCACTTTACCATTTCCTCCCTTTCTTTACAGTATTAGGTAAATTACCACTATTGAAATTAATAACCCATTATGGTGGTATTGGGGGTATTTGTGCAGTAACAGGTGTAGGGTTGTAGCCATTTAATTAAAAATCAGAATATTCCAATTTTTTAAGGAGTGCAGTTGTACAGTTTCTACCAAAGGAAGAAACGTTTTACACCACCCCAAGTATTAAAATAGTAAGAAAAGAGATCAGTAATTCAAGTTTCATAGAGACAAACATAATTAAACTCACCTGAACTGCACAACCGAGCAAAAGCAGGAGGAGCTTTTTTACTTCTTCAGTACCTGGCTCTGAGAACAAAAGAAGAAAAAATGGTAACTGTAAAATTGTCTTTTGAGCTTCTTCTCCTACACCTCAGAAGACAGGAGGTTTTCTTGGTATTCCCATATCATTTATGTTAACCTAGTTTAGAAAACAACCAGAGCAGCTTTCAGCTCAGTCCTTTTTGCCATTTAACTGCCAACTTCCAGAGTAACCCAACAGCTTAACAGCCACAACAATTTCAAATGGAAAAAAAAACCTCAGCCCTTCAAAAAGGAGAACTTCACAGTGACATTTTTAGAGACCTACAATCAAGTTTTCAATGGTAATCTCAGGTGTCTCAAGATAGTTACAAAAGTGCTTTAATTATCTGTTGCTCCCAAGTTGGAAGAGTTTAGGTGACAAGTTCATGTAAATTCCTTACAAAGCTGTATTAGATATTCAGCTGCACATCCAAAAAATCAAAATGCATTTCCAAATCTGGCCTTAAGCATCTTAATCTCCTAAAGAAGCTTAAGTTAAAAAACTCTGTTTACAGATTAATAAAAATTTTTCTTACTTTTTACGTTCACAATGTCCTCATCTTGCTACTAAATATAGAAATATATTCTATATCTAGAACATAAATGCCATGAAGCAAATGCTTCAAGGATGACAAAACAGTTTAGGCATTGACTCAAGCTGCTGCTTTTAGAGGGAGCTACATAATGTGTATAATCCCAATGATCATGGAATATTGCAATTTTTCAAGGGGTTTCTCAGGTAGATAAATACATTATAAAAAACATAGACTCAAATGGGAGATTTCGAGTCATTTATTCAGACTTCTTGTATCCCAAAGGCTCAAGCTGTTAAGTCTTTTATGGAGAAACAGAAAAACCATCATGGAATGTGTTTGATCAGAAGCTGCTTCAGCTGAAGAAGGGGAATTCCACCTGACTTTCTGCCTTTTATCAATAAAGGTTAACAGGAATACTGCAACAGGAGGAATCCAACAGCTCATAGCCTACATTCACTTACCCCAATAAAGCAATCACACTTTCTTAATTTTTAAGCAATCCCTGAGCTCCTCTTCACTCTTCATCTCCTGACTGCCTTTCAAACACCTGCCTGAATATTGATTCCTTGTCTCTCCCCCACGTTCCCTGAAGGAACAGGGCAAAATACTGAACCATCTCAGCTTCCCTCATCTTCTGGTTTTCTTCCTTTTCCTCCATCAGAAACACAGAAACAGATGATTCTCTTCTACACCCTTCAACTGCTGAGCTTTGTCCCTGCCCTGTGCCACTGCTTGATCTTCCCTGTGCTCACCCTTATCCCTGCCTTTCACACCCTCTGCAGGCTTCCATCCTCCCCTGCCCTGCTCCCTCAGGAATATGAACTTGCTTTCATCTTCCCCCTTCCCCTTTGCCTCATCATTACCCCTCTGTAATTTAATTTAACATTTACAGTCACAAGCTGTAGCTCTCTTCCAGTTTTCTCCTCCAACTGCCTTCCTGTCAATCAGCTCAGGAAATATTTCCTGATAAAATCCCTGCTGAGCTGTTTTATCAAACCTCAACTCCAGCCTTCTCCCTGCATTCTCCTCCATGAGCCAACTGCCTCTGGTAGCTGCTCCTGCCATCTGCAATTTGGCACCTTCTGGAATTTCTCTACTAATCATTCCCTAAGTGCAAAGGGGAAAAACTGGGAAAAAGCCCTGTGAAAAATCACACCTCCAGCCTAAGTTTTAGTGGACTGGATCCAAGTCTTGATCAGGGAATTGACTTTTACTCCAGGGCTTGCCTTGATGCAAACAGATTTACACAGCAAGTGTCTCCAAAGATCACTGAGGTTTCATTTCCCTGCACCTGCCCAAAAAAAGCTTAAAAACCTCTGTAGGGATGAGATCCTTTTCCAAGCTGACACAGCAAGAGCAGCCCTAACTTTTTAAGGGGAAAGGTTCTGGACAGAACCCAGAAGAACAGGTCTGTATTCTAGTTCAGACCAAACTCTGTGACTGAACTCCAGCAGGGAGCTGAAACACCTTCAAGAATGTCCAAATTGTCCAAGCATAACAATTTTTTAAAAATGTGAGTGCTACACTACAGAAAAGTCCAAATTTTCTCACAAATCCAACAAAATCCCCACAGAACAGCAAAGCACACACCAGCAGAGCTGCCAAACCACAGACCCCAAAACACAAAGACACCACCTGAAAAATGACCAAACCATAAAACTGAATGTGTACAACTGAATGCAGTATTATCTCTGTGGGGTTTGATAGTGCATTTTCAATGAAATGTCATCTTATACTAGACAATATTATGGAAACATTCTCTCTCAGTATCTTGAACAGAATAAAAAATGTCACTACAAAACAATATTATGAGCTGGGGTTTTTAAAATCTGTTTTTCCAGTAAATCTGGTTTCTAGGCAAATCCATGGAGTCTTTCGAAAACCTTAAGAGAGTCTGGAACCAAAATTAAAAAAGCACGATGCATTCTGTTCTTTTGGAAAGGAAGAGACCACATTCACACTTCTTGGTGCATATGACAGCAGCTGCACATATAAAAACTGAAAAAGCTGTGACCTCGGAAGCAAAAGCAGCAATACTGAAAAGCAGAAAGTAAAAACCCAGAAGAACTAAAGCAAGATACCTACAGAGATGGGACAGTGCAGATGGGATATGGAAAATACCAATGTCATGAGCCCTGGGATTGGGAAGTGAGGAAACACAGATGGTTCTTCTGGCTCATGAGGAAGCCCCTGTCCCACAGACACAGAAGCGTGGCAGAGAAGACATCCCAAAGAAATCAAAACAGCCAGGGGAAGCTACACAGCCTGCTAGAGCAGTTCCTGACCTCTCTGCTGAGGTGTCAGAACGTCAGGAGGAGAACACCTGGGGCACATTAGACCTAGGTAAATAAATTCTGCCCAATCCATAGTGGCTCCATGCAGGCCAGGTGTGTCTGCTCCGTGCTTCTGGAATTGAGAGCATGGTGCAGAGATTCCCAAGTGGCTGTGGACAGTCAGCTGGCTCCACACAGGCTAATTTTCTTGGTGTGAAAATTGCAACTCTCAGAGCTGGAAGCAGAGAAGGTGGGAGCATGGAGAAGACAGTGTCAGTTCAGGGGAGAAAACAAGAAGGTAATTGCAATATTTTTCAGGTACGGATGCAAGAGAAGCAGGAGAGTTTGGGGGAAGGAGAAACAAGGATCAGGAGCTGGATCAAGTGAGATGCACTGGACTGCCAATTCCCTCAGCGGTGACACAGGTGAAGAAAGTTGAAGGTGCAGTAGCTGGGAGTACGTGAAACTTTAACTTTGTGCCATCAGTGGTTCACTGGTTGCTGGGAAATGCACTCAGGCTCAGTATAAATCCTAGTGAAAGCCAGGGCTGAGGCTGTGGCAGAACACATTTTTTAGAGTGTGGACAAAGAAAATCATTATTAAATCATTACTCATTATTATTAAGCCCCTTATTTGATAAAGTATTTAAACAATCTTCTGTTGAAAGGCTCAACCCTACAGGCATTTTACTTCCAGGGAAAGAATATAAATTATCACACCAGTATACATTTTTATCTTAGTCAAAAATAAACTTACCAGAAAAAGGATTTTTGCCAATTATTAGCACATTTGGCAAAGACATCATGATCAACTGCTGCAAAGTCTCCTACAAAAGTTAATTAAAACATTATTTACATCATATGTACTGAATGAAAGCAAAGCCATTTCAGTATTAATTAAACAGTTTTAATATTTTTCAGGACTTCATGCAGTCAATTCATATAACACTTAATTATTTGCATTCTAATTAAAAAAACAACTAACAAATATGAGTTATTCTACAGAAGCTTTGTTTTACTGGTTTGCACAATCATCTCACACAGCAAAATCCTCTCGTGGCAATGAGCTGGCTTAGGGATCATAAGCCAACGAGATCCCGAGTCTCAGAATGCAGCAAAACCCTTTAAATTTATTATGGTCATGTTTCCCTGACTAACTTATTGATACATTATTTGTTCTATTGGCTCTAAGTGCATTCCAACTGCAAAAAATCGATTTCCTTTATTTCACATTTTTGGCCTCACCAAAACATGTATTGATACATTATTTGTTCTATTGGCTCTAAGGTGCATTCCCACTGCAAAAAATCGATTTCCTTTATTTCACAGTTTCTTTGGCCTCACCAAAACACACATGTAAAAATCCCAGGGGTTTTTGCTGCAGTGACACTGGGCCAGCTGTGATTATGAGGGTACAAACCCCTGTCTGCACAAATCACATGGAATTTTAGCTGGGAAGTGCCAGCAGCTCTGCCTATGTGTTCCATGGATTCCATCAATGGAGCTCCTGTAATGGCTGTAATCGGGTCAAATCCCCAGTCTAGACAGAGCCTAATTCTCCTGAAGCAGAAAAGTCTTTCTCCTGTTCCCAGATATTTATTCCCAGCAGATGCCATCCTATAGTCAGGCTTTTTGTTTTTCCACAGTGACAGATCCATTATTATATGAAATGCTCCTACTCAAAAGGAACATATTCCAGAAGAGCCCAAGGCACACATCAGGTGTCACATCATAAGCAACAACCTAACACAGGTCTACCTGCTTTAGGTCAAATTGAAAAAAAACCCCAATATTTCTTGAAAAACACCAGTAGAAATTATTAGCTACAGCTATACTTGGAAGTTCCCACCAGTTAATACACAACATCAAAATTATATCTGGATTAATAGTAGACTGCAAAATATACATTCCCACTGGACATGCCTAAGACAAATTATAAGGAGGGAGAAAACAGCTTTGACCTCCTCCAATATGATGAAATCCAACCAACTGTGACACCTGTACTTCTCAGACTTTGATAAAGACTATTTTTAAATAAAAATAAGACACGAAGTGCACCACAAGATGTTTGAAATCAATATAAACCAGATAAAATATAACTAATTTAATGAGTATCGACAGCAACTATGAAAGAATCACATATTTTTAGAGTGGCTTTTTGTTGTTTTTTGGGGGTGGTTTTTGGTAGTATCTTAAATAATTCCATGATGCTATCATGAAGCTGATCATGTATCAAAGCAGAGTATGAGCAGCAGTAACCAAAACATGTGTCCTGAATGGACATGATCACCTGTTTCCTTACAACACCTCTGCCTTGCCCCAGAGATGTCTGACACCTTTTCTGTCTCTTAGTGTTAACCTCAGCACTGGCTTTGCTTGCACAAACTTTCACATTTCACTAGCATTTATTTTACTGAAGATTTTCACCTCCTCAGTCAAACCTGCTGAGGGTCACTGGATTAAACCTCTCGAGCCCACCAAAAAATTTAGAATCACATGTCTCGAATGAACTGTTGAGAACAGTTCCATGCTCTTACACTGCCAAGAAATGTACACACTCCAATTACTGGTTCAGGACCAGAACTGTAATTCCAGAGAATAACAAAGATGATACAGGAACAAATAAATTGACTAATATAACAACTTAATTTTGAATGTTACATTCTACCAGTGCAGGTTTTTGACAAGTACATCCACAGCACCGATGTGATTTTTCACTAAACTGAGAGAAGGTTTTCCACAGATGTTACAAAACCACATGGAACAAAGCAGCATGGACAAGCTCACAATGAGAAGAGTTAGGTCAACGCAGTGCTAAAAGTCCCAAATTCCCACATTCATGCCAAGCCTCAGTGAACGTCTCTGTCCCCTCCCCTGGGATCCCAGGCATCCCCAGAACAGCCCCAGGCCCGTGCCTGTACACTCAGCTTTCAGGAGCACTGGGGTGTGAGGCTCCTGCCTCACCCCAGGCTAAGGGAGGCCTCTCAGCTTGATTCCAAGGCATCCATCAAAGCCCCAGCTTTCCTGCCTTGGGGAATTTCACAGGTGACAGGAACTCAAGTGACCCCTCTGTGAAACAGCCCATCCTTTAACACTTCAACTACCACAAAGCATAAACCTCCCTGCAGGCACTGTAGGGAGGGAATACCTACAACATGCAAAAAGCAATTTTAGATTCCAAGGAGCTCTCCAGATTGGAGCATAAATGCCTTTACTCCTGCTAGAAACACCAGCCCTTCAAATGTCTGCATGGTGACCAAAACCCTGAAAGACTGGGGAGAAAAGTGTATAAAACAGTTAAAAGGGCAGTTCAATATAGCTTGGGCCACTAAAGGCATGGTGACTGGTTTTACCATTTCTTAAAAAAGAATTTTTTTTTTATTTTAAAAAAGCTCTTGTTTCTATCACAAAAGTTTGGAGCAACATCTGCAATCCTGAACCATCCAAAGGTACCTAAAAGCCAGCAATTCTGCCTGGTCCTGGAGCACTTGGACTGGTGATACCATGAGGCCAGTGCAGGATGGGGAATGCTTTGTGTTCCAAAAAAGATCAATCCTGTCAGTGTTTGTGCCTTCTGTTGCACCAGTTGTGGAACACTAATGCCTGGGGGAAAATGCCTTCAGTAAGGAAAAGGAAAAGCATCTGGGCCTTAGCAGGCAGCCCATAAATCCATGTGCAGGGGCTGCCAAGGAGAGAAGGGGGGAAGTGCTGGGAAGGTGTTCTGTGGCTGGTCAGGGCACTGACAGCTGGGAACTCTCACTGCACTCGCAGTTTTGGGAAGCACACACTGTGGGTGGACACAGGAGGAGCACAGGTTGGCCAGGAGGTGTGGGGAGAGGCAGAGCAAAGGTTTTCTCCCAGGTCTGGGCTCTCCTGGCAGGAAGGAGCAGGGGAGTGGGGAAGGGCACTAAAAGCCACGCTAAAGGGACACTGGTGACAGCAGCAGTGCCCAGCTCTGGAGTGTCCATGTGTACAGCATCCTATCCAGCAGGGACAGGACCAGCTCCTACTACTGCATCAAACTGCAGTGGCTCTTTTACAGCTCTTAGATCCTCACTGCATTTACTACAAACTCCCAAATCAATTCAAAGCCCAGTAAAGTTCATCATGTTTTTCTAACAAAAATTCCATTTTACAAGACTAAATGCACATGTAATAGTCTCTCTCACTGGCACAAAACTTGCTTCAACTCAGAAAATACCAACCACAGGAGTAATTGCACACAGAGAGTATTCTGTAAACAGATTCATACAGAAGTGTGTCCACACCACCTTTATACCTGTAAACAGTAATAAGAAATTTGACCAGATACCTAAACAATCATCCATACAAAGTATCTCTTGTTCATCTTACTCCTGTTACCCTTGAAGCCATAACTACAGAAGAAAATTTAGAAATAATTCCAGGCAAAACGTAACACAGCAATTACTGACCTGGTAGTAAGTTTTGATTTGTTTCACCAAAATAGACAAATTTTGAATCCTTAATGATGCATCATTGTTTACTTTTTTGTTTATCCTCTGATTAGCAGACTTTGGATTGCTGTGAAAATAAAAGAAAAAAGAAGACATTAAACACACTGAACATTCATCTTTAAAGCTTTCTCTATAAAACAAATGGTATAGTTAATGTGCCAGCACAGCCATTCCTTGTCTTGATAACCATGCCTTGTTTTCCCCCTCCAGAAATCAGTAAGGAGTTGTGGAAGATGGAAAGAGCTTGAAATGTGTCTCTGACACAGCCAGCCAGCCTCACATTCTTGTTTGCTGCCAATGCAGCCTGAAACTGGGAGCACCCACCACAATTCCCAGGGAATGGGTCTGACAGGAAAGTTTTTATGGCTATATGATGTTATTTTACTAGGAACAAAACATAATTTTTAACTTTTAGAATGATGATGAATATGAAACACATCTTGGTAACACACACTAAACTGTTTTAAATGCATTTACAGATTGCTGGAATGTGACAACAAAGGCATTAATTGGAGTTTTTGTCATGTACTATCATATACTACCAGATTTTTCTCTGGTTTGTCTTGGCTTCAGGGAGGAAATCAATCACTTTTTCCTTCCCAAAGTAGAAAGGACCTGAGGAAAGGCAGATGAGACCCCCTTTTTCAATACCTTGTAACACAGAGAGGACAGCAGGACAACCATTCACTGGGATTTCTCATGGAAAACCACGCAGAATCAAAGCACACCCCATAACACTCTCTGAAATAGTTAAAGAATTCCTAAGGGACGGCCAATGTGAAGTTTCTCACTTTTACAGCCTCTTGATACAGTTGCACAACTCAACTTTTGATATCTAATGGTATTATTGTATTGTTTAATGATATTATTACCATCAGATAAATGAGAGCTGGCTGGGATGCTGCACTCAAAAAACAAACTACCAATTTTTCCCTGTCAAACCAGGGCTCCCAGCAGGGATATGTGTCTGCTGGCTCTGCTTTTATTCAACATTGTCATTAATGATTTAAACAATGGAATACAGAATACACTTTCCAGAACAGCCACTGGCAAACTTTAGGAGGAAAAAACCCCAAAGAACAACCTTCAAAAAATACTATGGCAATGGAGAATGATCCTGGTAATGTGCAAAAGTAATGGAATTCAATAACTCACTCACAGGCAAAGGATAAGAGTCAGATTCAAATGCACAGAGGGGAGTTATTTGCTATAAAACAAAAATGACCTGAATATTGTGGTATCATGACTGACTCTGATGCAGTTTATCCCTTTGATTGGTAGTTTCACATAAACTCTCTGTACAAAAATTAAGTATTTTTCATTTATATATAAGTTACCTACAAAAACTTTATTTGCCTTTTACAGCTAGCTTAACTTTTAGCATATCAGATTTTTTAAAAAATATATATATTTATGTCTTTTCTTCAGTTTATTGCTATCAGCATTTCCTGGCTTACAAACACAAATAGAAATAATAGAAAAACCACTGCTGGGAAAGGAAGTCAGGTCATATAAAAAATGCACCTCCAACACACAGACATTTTTCAAAGAAAAGCAGTAGGCACACTATCTTTTTTCTGTATTTATTATTACAAATCTAGGAAAATTAGGACATGGGTAATTGCCTCATTCCTAAATGCTCATCTCCACGTTCCTAAAAATACTGTAAACAATTAAAATATATTTTAGAACATATTAGCCAAACCATGTGACCAAGATGTGACCTTGGGTTTATTAGATCAGCCAACCTGTAGCTGTAAAAGCTAAATGGGCTAAAAATAATTATGCTTTGCAGATGCACAGAACTGGACTCCTTTCCACACTGAATTCATTCAAATTTGTTAAAATCAGAAGAGAAAATCCACAATAAATCCTGCTGACCTACAGAGATCAGCTGAAGTCTCCTATTTCTACATGCATATCTCCAAAAGGCCGATTTGGGCCCTTAATCTTCATCTTTAATCTTAATGACCATGGGATTATCTCTGGGCTTTTTCATCATCTTCAGCAGCATTTCTACAGCCACACATTTCAGATGCCTCTCCCTTCAGAGCACCCAAAACAGGGCACAGGGGTTTCCTGGATATTGTGCCAGCTCTTATTTTAGCATCAACACCAAAATTAGTGTGCAACCACAAGAACTCAAAACACAAACGTCATAAAAGCTCAGGCTTTCCATTTTCTCATTTCCAAAGCTGTATTAGGATATTGAGATTGATCCTGGATGAACAAAAACTTCAACATTTCCATAGCACTGGATCTTCATGACACCACAGGATCAGCCCAGCCCGCAGGGAAGGGCTGCTTTAACAACCTCACCTCCCTCTATGACAAGTTTAGTGACCTGCTTAGTGCCAAAATGATTCATTCCTGTAGCTTAAAACAAAGTTGGGGGTTTTTTTGTTTTGGTTTGGCTTTTTGTTGATGGCTTAAATTGCAGGAAGCAGTTTACTGAGATTGTGAATTTTTGCTGGAAAAGCTTGGGCCGCAGACGTGCTCTGGGCACGTATTTTTACCACTGGGAAAACTCCACTGTCCAGGTTCAAGATGCTCTGCTAGTGCAAATAACCAGCAATTAAAATCAGAATGTCAGCCTTGGGACAGCCTGGTGCACAGAAAACATTATTTTAGTAATTTTAAAATTTTCCAAAAGCTTATGGCAAAGGGTCCAACAGAAATCCCAAGCTCCAAGTTCCCTTAACATTTTTCAGCAGAACTTAAAAGTAGGTAGTGGTAACAAGAAGTTCAAATCACTGTTTTTAAGGTTCAATAAAAGCAAGGTAGTGAGATATCAATACTACTCTCTACCAATCATTTTGAATTTAATTAAACATGTACCCCCAATAACTCACTATTGGTAGTAGATTCCTTTTTCTGTTTTTTGGTAATGAACGTCCTTTTGGCTCATTATTCTTCAACCATGAGAGGTCAGTTCTTTGACACTCTCAATTAGTTCTTGTTAGCCATGACTAGGATGAGTGACTTGGACAAAAAATTGTTTCCCATGCTTGCCAGAGTGCAATCCTGCTCTCAGCACCTTCCAGTGCAAACAGGACTTCACCTCTGTGCTGCAGTAAATGAGATCTTTCTAACCACGTTATGCCATTAAATGATTATAAACACAGACTGTTTATGGGCTACCTACTAAAATAACCCTGTGCTGAAAAGTAAATGTTAAAAACTGAGGGGTTCCCACCAAGCAGCCTCTGTGCTGGTGCTTAGCAGAGCCCCCTAATCTTCAATCACTGATTTATTTCTACCTTTCAGATTGTGTTAGAACTGTCAGGTTTGTGTATGGAGCAGCCAAGCACAGACCTGACAGATTCCTCCTCACACCAGTGTCATGAAAGGACCATGATTAGGTCCTTGAACAGGAAATGCCTTATTAAAAAAAAAAAAAAAACAAAAACAACTAAATCCACCTTCACCTCCAATACTGATAACCAGGTCTCATTTTCTCAGACTCCAACCTGAATGCTCAGGAGTCTCCATAATCCACTAAAGAGCATTTTAAATAATATTTATTTAGTCAATATAGTTCATCATCTTAAGTATTGATATCTTTATCTGCCCCTCTTGAAGAGGAAATAATAGAGCAGGATCCTGGCTGCTCATTTCCATTTTATGTTGTTTGTAGAATTGTATTTTTTCAGGCTGGTCCAAGTCATGGCATACTAATACTTTTTACTAAGCAGGAAGTCTGATGTGTAACTATTTTTCATACAGAAAGATAAAATTCTAAGCATGAACTGCCAGAACCTTCTAAGAGCAACTCTAAACTCATTTACAGTTCTGGAAAACTAATTTATTAAAGATTTTAATGAAGTACTTATACCCATAAGTTGAACAATTGAATTTCTATGACCAGTAAAATGTTTATAATTATTATATTTTTATTAATGCGAAACAATTCTGTTTATTAGAATACATCAGGTCCAATAACATTGAAATAAACTGGACGATCTTGGAAATATAGGATGCAAATTAAATCATTCTGAAGATAAAAAGGCCTACTTTGCCAGCTTAAGACACAGCTTTAGAAAGCAGCTTTTTAAAACCATCAGATTCTGGTGGCTACTATAAACATTTTTAAGGCCATCCATGCTCTGAACTGCTCCTTTGATGAGGTGGGGATACTGAGCTGCTTCAGTGGCAAACAGCCCAGCAAAATAGGGCAAATCTGTCTAGAAGTCGATAGGAAGCAGAGCAGTAAAAGATACCCTTAAGCAATTTTACATTTAAGAGCAACCTACTTATGACAAGATACATTAATTTCAATAGCAATAAAACCAGGAGCATCTATCCCAATAATGCATTAATTCGTTTAAAACTCCTGATTACAGAGGGAACTTCAGTGATTTTGAAATACTACCAGTGTCATGAATCACAGATTGAGACTTCATATAATCAGGGATTATGTGTCTTTAATTTTTCATTGACCAAAATCTATCAGAAATGGGAATGTGATAGCTTAATGGCCTCATGCTTAAATCTATGCAGACTGCAAACCAGTTGTGTCCTCCCCTGCCATCTGTTCCTTGATGGTACTTAATGATTAAGTCTGGTATCATAACGCACCCTAATTTGAAATATACCATTGTTTGAATGTATTTGGTGAGTTCAGTGAAATGCTACCCTGTGCTTCAGCTTACAGCAGCACAGCATTCACTTGTACAACCAAATGCTGCATGCCTGATAAAGTTTATTTTCTGCCAACTCCTTTTAACTGGAATGCTGAGGTTCACTCTTGGTATCTGTCATATATTTTAGTCATTACTGATAACAGAATTTTGGGATAGACTAACTAACAAAGCAGCATCTTCATTAGTTACTACTGGCACAAAAATAATAAGCATGCTCAAAATGTATTTTACAAAGAGACTTAATACAGCAGTGTCCTTTTACTGACAAAACAATAAAAAAGTGAAAAAAACCCAACCTGGTGCTTTCACTGGAGAACAACTGATAATCTTCAAATTGCTTAACATTTTACAATCTCCCTTTTAGTTGTAATACACTGCATTTCTATCCTTGAGATGATACTGCTTGAGCAGCAACCAATGCAGT